TACCTATATGTGTGTTCATAAAAAAATACAGACTTATTTCCTTTATATAAAAATAAGGAGATGTGGTATGACAACTATCCACCGAAGTTCAAATGAAGAGGACGAAAGCAATTATAAGCAATCGAACGGCCTTCAAAAATGTAATTTTAAACCAAAGTGACTCTCTGTTTTATATTAAGAAATGAGTATGAAGTTACTTAGTTACCCAAGGGAAAACTCTTAAAAACATTCTTATTCACGATGTAGCAATGAATATTCTAAACTTTTCCGTAATATGTTACCTGTAAAATGGCGCAAATGTAGTTTTTATCTTCTGGCGCAAATGAAATATAACCTTGTGGCGCAAATAAAAGATTTGTAAAAATTGGCGCAAATGCAATGCGCCCGCGACTGTCATACAAGTGAGAGGTTTAGCTAGATATAAAACCAGGTTTAATCCACCATTTTCATCATAAGGAAATATCAGTACCAAGTCAGAAATATGCTTTATTCGTTTTCAAGACAAAACAGCCAAACCAAACACGCCTGAACAGAAAAACACACCTTAACATAAATAGGTGTACCCGACTTTGTCTTTTCTATTAGATTATTGCCCATTTTAAAGATTGTTTTCCCAAAAAACTGTTTGTTTAGTTTAGTTTAAGCATGCAGGAAAAACCAAGAACGTCAGATATTAGGATGATGATGATGATGTGCGTTTTACCTATGTTGATATAATATGACAAGCAATCCCTTTGATCTCTTTATAAAATTTAATATGTACATTTTGATCATATATAGAAAAGAGTAACTTTTCCAAAAACCAATAGTTTTATGTTCAAATTACACACTTCGGGAAGCCATCTGCGACCATTAAACAGAATAGCCCTTTCATTTAAATGGAAATGAGAGTCAAAGAAAAAATGGAGCATGTCATCAATATCCAATCCACATCTACATGTTGGATCATATATAAAAAAGAGAGAAGAGATTGAATTTAATTTACACTAAATACCGAGGTTTAAAATTGAAAACAAGTTAAGTTCTCTAATTAGACACAGAAGTGCAGGCTGATATCCAGTTGAAATTAAACAAGAGAAGTAGAACTCTTTATAAGAAAAGGTAAACATGGCCAAGTTGGTATATTTGAATTGTTTACATCTGTGTCTAAGGGCTTTAAAAGTTAAATGTAGGTGCATAATTTAGGATTTTTTGCATCTTATTTCCGTATTTATACTTTAATTATAGTATGGAGGTTCGAGATATCTGTAAACTGTTACCTTTAAGACAGATTTTCACAAAACAGCTGAATATTGTAGGTGCATATATATGTGGACCTTTTTTGTGCATCAGCAAAAATTCCGCCGAAAAAAATCAACAGAGGGATACAATATCGATCTTTTTAAAGCATTAATTTGCATCTCTGACCCGGAAACAGCTTTTTTTGGGGTATTAATGTTGGTAAAGTTGACATTCAATACCCACATCTCCTCCATAACAATGACCATAAAAAGATAAGGAATAAATATTATGTTTACACTGTATTACTACAGTAACACTGTTTTTTTTTTATTATTTTGAACCAATGAAATGTATTTTATCCATGTTTACGAAAGTGTTAACATGAATTATCATTGATATGGTCATAATAACAAATTAACTGTTCACAAATTTCGAAATTTTCGAAAGATTAATGATTTTCTAACCCAGGAATTTATTATCTTACCTGTATTTGGCAAAATCTTTCGGAATTTTGGGATCTCAATGCGATATAATTTCGAACATTATTTGGCCTCTTTAACTTTTTTAATCGAGCGACACTGATGAGTCTTTTGAAAACGAAACGAGCGTCTGGCGTACAACAAAAAAAAAAACAAAACTAAAAACACAAAAAAAAAAAAAAAAAAAAAAAAAAAAAAAACAACACAGCAATCTTTCATGTGTTATTTTAATTCAATCTAAATCGCAGTAACTTAAGTCAAGTTGATCATGTAAATGTATAAATAAGAACAACCAAACTCTTATTATTGTTCCACCTAAAAACCCGTTGAACTTGTTTAAAACCTGATTTGTATATGTTACAGGCATTTTGTAATATTACTGAATTTTCAGGCAGTTTATAAAATGCCTATCCTTGACAGGCATTATATGAAATGACTAAACATACCAAACATTTTGTAAAATGACAAATTGCCTGTTAAGTTTCAAATAATATGTAGAAAAAAAAAATATCACTCAGATACATATGACCAAACCACTATACCTTGCAATAGATATAACTAATGGTTCAGTAAAAATTGATTTATTCTTCAAATACCAGCTGGGACAATTTGTATGTATATAACTAGTTTGTTTTAATAAAACTACGTTTAGTATGTACTCACTGTATTTCAGATAGTAATTTTATGATTTTATGATATTTTTGTTATGATGACAGAAGAACAACAATAGAATACAAAGTTTACCAACCAATTTTTCGAAAATCTAGATTCAAATTAGAAGTGATTAATAATATAAAGCAGAGATCAATACGGACGTTTTTTGTTTGACTGATTGTTGTTTGCTTGTCCTTAGTAGCAAATATTTCAGTCATATTTAGGACAAGACATAATTGGTTTAAAATCAAATAGGCAAGTTCTGCAATAGATTGACCCAGATAAAGGCCGGGAATTTCGACCGCAGCTTGAAATGAAGTTATGTTGGATAGGGACAGAAAGGTTGCCTTCCAACAGGCCAGCTACGGAACGATCAGGGAGTTCTTAACGTGCAGTGATTGTGGTACTCTCCTAACATGAGGCATCATATTTACCCCTATATAATGGTTTTCACCCTACAAGGCCGTGTTTTGTTTTGATGCCAAGATATCAGTATATTGATCTTCACTGCCTCAAGGCAATTCTTGGGTCCTTTCTGATAAATTAGTAACAGTAGTTAACCAATTTTAAAAACTGGAAAATCGATCAAAGAGACAAGGTAACACACTTAACCAGAGGATAAAAGAAATCCCATGAACTTCATAAGAAGCAAGACGGGGTGCGTTGACAGCGTAAGCGTCTCCTGCCTTGCATGCATCACCCGCCATACGAAGATCTGCTTCAGCCTGTTGAATTGTATGATAAGTCAACAGCTGTAAATCTACCTAATCATGCAAATGTTACTTAAGAACACGATGTTTTGCTTTTTTCATTGGGTGTGAGTTTGAAAAACACATACAAAAATCTTTTTAAATATTTCAAGGGCAGAACTAAAACGGTTCTAAGATTGAAGGCTAATTACCCTGGATAACATACACAACAAATATTTTACTTTTGAAGTTATACACAATAAAGATCCACATGTAAAGTCTGTCGTCAAGTGCTTTCAGTAAATATTTGTTATTCAAACATACCTACTCTGTTGTTATGACTCATTAGAAAAAGGCATTTTACCTGATCCATTCATTCATTTCTTTCTACTGTGATTTTTTAATGTTATAATCAACATGTAGCCTAAATATATAAAACTAATGAAACCTGAAGCGATATGTTGTATGACATATTTTTGCTTTAAACGTTTTCAAGAAAAAACAGTTAACTCAAATACGCCTGGACATAAAAAGGTGTACCGACTTTCTCTATTCGATGACATTAATGCCAATTGTGAGGATTTTTTCACAAAAAACTGCTACGCGGACAGAGAAGCAAATAAATTCTTTAAAAAGATCCATCTTTTATCTTTCTGTGGACTTTATGCTGATGCGCAAAAAAGATCCACGTGTATTTGCACTTACCTTAATCGCCTGTTTTGTGAAAATTTGTCTTTAATATAAAAGTTTACAAACATCCCGAAGCTCCATACTATAATTAAGTATAAACACGTATATAAGATGCAAAACATTCCAAATCATGCACCTACATCAAACTTGAAAGCCCATAGAAACAAATGTAAACAATTCAAATATACTAATTTGACCCTTTTTACCTTCTTTAAGGTTCATCTAAAGGAATTGAAAAATATTGCCGTGTTAACACCAAAAAAATCTACTTTGAGTACAGATAAACTGATGCATCTAGGAAAGTTTTAAGGCCTGGCTGGACCTAGATATATAAAAGTTATATTCAGCTTATGTTTCAGAAAATTAAAAACATATCTGGATTTTGATGTGCATTTTTTCCAGTCTGCAGTAGATAGCAAAATAAACTAATACACGAGTTTCATTTGATACGGTCCACTCAGTTCCACAGATTAAATCACCTATTGTTTGCAGATGTCTATTTTCCAACTATTGTCCATTTGAAATCAATACTACTCAAAAAAAAATTATATGAGGGGACCTTCTCAAACCTCATTCCCAATTTAGTTTATTTCGACATCCTCTGCAGGAATGAAAAAAAAAATGAAAAGAAAAATCCAGTTAAGTTTTTAATATTCTAAAACTTAAAATGCATTTAAATTATATATATCTAGGTCCAGCAATGCTCCAAAAACTTTTCCAGGTGCACAGGTTTGTCTGTACTCAGAGTGAAATTTGTGTTGTAAAATACGGCCATATTTGCTAAAAGGTTATGATGAACCTTAATAAAGAGTTCCATTTATTTTGCTTAATTACAACTGGATATCAACTTCGGTATATCTGGGTTTTGTTTAATTATAACAGTTAAGTCATAAATTAGGTCGTTGTTGTTTTTCTTTTAAATTGTTTCACATTTTGTCATGTTATTCAGGTAAGGAGCCTGTTATTCAGTGGTTGTCATTTGTTGCTGTATATCATATTTGTTTTTCGTTTATTTTTTGTACATAAATAAAGGCGTTAGTTTTCTCGTTTGAATTGTTTTACATTCGTCATTTCGGGGCCTTTTATACCTTACTATGCGGTATGGGTTTTGTTCATTGTTGAAGGCCGTGCGGTAGCTAATAGTTGTTAACTTCTATTTCATTTTGTATCTGGTGGAGAGTTGACTCATTAGCAATCATATCACATCTTCTTATTTTTATATTATATTACGATATCGAATATATCGGAACATGAATTAATTCTTCAGAATTTAAGCGATAAACATGAGACAGTCTGCATGGATATTGCTGTTTCTAGTTCCGCTGATTGAAGGCAATATACTCGAAGATGTAGTAAGTACATTTTTAGAAGCGTTTTATTGCCAAATGACAACACACATTCCGATTTTAGTAACAATTCAAATAAAATGTCAGAAAGAATAATAATCTTCATATCCTCAATTAACTAATAATGAAGTTGCTGTTCTTCAACTTAAAGTCAGAGTGTGCATTTAAAAATGGAGCAAAATCTCTCACCTCCCTTCAAATTTAAGACAGCACCCTGAGTGGATGTGATATTAATACACTATTATTTATATTTGGCAAAGATGCCAAACAAATACGGCAATTATCAAGCAGAAACAATACAAACATTTAGAGAACCATAGGACACAAAGATATATGTTAGAATAATTATCAAGTAATTACGTATTGATGAAATGAATAATTTATGTAAACTGCAAAATTTTTTATATACAACCTGGCAAAATGTGAAAAAATGATGTAGCATACACAAAAGAAGTTATGTCAAGAATAAAAGCGCCATAAATATCAAGCACGGGAAAATGTTTAACTCAAATCCTCCCACCCCAAAGCACAAGAGACAAACTTTGTAAATATAATGGCAAAGAAAGAACACATTATCAATAAAATGATCTCTCTCTCTCTCTCTCTATCCAGAGAGAATGTATAGGATTTTATTGCTTTTGCATTACATGTAAAATATTGACAAATACTTATTTAAGATGATTGTATCTTGTAGACTTCATTATTTTTTTTATCATCCAGATAAATAGATTTCAAAATGAAAAAGACAAAACAAATGTTTGTAGTATCCCAACTGATCGTCAACTTCTTAGATGTGACGTTCAACCGCTTCACAACGTGGTACCTGAAGGGACAATGTGCTCCTTTATAGAAACCGATTATTCTCGATCGGAAAGAGTTGTTGTGAATTATGTCTGCGAGAGTGGTATGCTTATTGCCATGAATCACATGCACAGAGGTGAGTGAGGATAATTTGTGATTAGTAAATTGTGTTTATATATCATTATACAATTTTGAAATGATTTGCTGTATACCTTATGTGAGTATTGAACAAATATAACTGACAGTTTGAAAAACACCAATTATATAATTTTACAATACAAAAGCTTTTTACATATACATGGTATTCATTACATGTTAAGAGATTTTAGCTGCCAGATTCATTACTCGCTAACTCATTGAATTAGAATAACGAATTCACTGACCTTTAATTAGATTGCAAAGTTCCATAGGGAGGATAATCAATGCATGAAATTATAATAGCATTTCGTGCGTATATAAGGACTAAGCGTCATTTAAGTCATCATTGAGATGATCTCCAAAAATACCGATTGTAATTTGTCCCGATTTAAACATACATATGAATTATAGTCAAACAAGCACGTGCAATTGTAAAATGACGTTTTTTTTAAAAATTTTTATTTCAAGTCACATATTAAAATAGAATTTATATTATCGTTTAACCTGTAAAAGAAAGATTTTGAGGTCCGAATCAGTCAACGAAATAGTTTTTCCTAGTGACTCACTAGTTCGAGCTGGACGTTCTTTTCTTTCTAATAACTGAACACGCAGAACACTTGCGGCAACCCAACTCTAACTAAGGATAAAAACATACGGACCCGAATGAGGTCAAATTATTGTCTTGTAAGACAATTATATATCAGCGATGTTTTTATAGTTTATTTTTACAAACTTGAGCCAAACTGGCTTTATACAGCGACTTTTATTTCAAAATTCCGCTTTTATTTGATTCAAACAAAAACGAAAAAACTGTATATTTTTTGTCTAAACCGTAGTTATTACCCCTTTAGTTTATAAACGAAAATGTCATATTTTTTTTCTAAAAAAAGAAATCGAACATCAATTTTAGGAGGAAATCAAAAATGTTGAAAAAGATGCTATGATTCACATGTCAGTGAAATTATACAAACTTCAGAAAGTTGTTTCAGTAGGCTTGGGTTTGACTACATAAGTAGTTTGCCATCGAGTTTTCCCCTTCTTCGCTGCTGTATTGGATCCCTGCGACGACGAGCGACTGTGACAAGATTAAAGTTCAACTTCGTAGCCCCTGTGCATATGTAGGAAATTCGTTGCCACAACCCTTTGAAGTTAGATAATGAAACTTAGCATGATTATTTACACCTACATAAGGGTGTGTCGGGAACAAGGAAGAAATGCATACATACAAAGTTATAAACAAGAAACTTAGTTGATAATTCATGTCATGTTTGGTTTCCTCGAAATACTTAGTTTTGTTAGATTTTCTTTAATACTTATGGATCGATGATGAATGTAAGGATATTCATATATTTATTTAATATGTTTCATACGTAAATGATAAAATGAAATCGAGCGTCCGGGTAATAAATAATCCAGGTGTTAATTACATAACTCCTGTGTGATTCAACACACTAGACACCAATGTAGACGCATGACAGATTATGCATTGACCGCAGATTTTTTTAATAATAACCATAGAGAACTGTAGAGTAACAAATATCGGCACTTTACCAATTAAAATTCTTTAATTGAATGATTAATGATAATGTCCAGCTGTAAATATTTCACTCTTGTTTAGGACTAATAGGTCGTTGCAGTATTGACATAAAACATGATGAAATTTATAATTTAATTATCAAAATATTTAGGCATAAGAGAAACATGTTATGCTACAGAAACTTGACTGACGTATTCAAATGAAAAGCTGTCATGTTATTATTACGAAATGACGCCATAATTATACTTAATTATCCAGGAAGTGCGCATGGCATACTGTGTGAATGCATGAGGATATTTTTTTCTAGTGGCACATTATTCAATGAGTTCTGTCATATTTTAAATGGAGAACAAAAACAAATCATATGCCACCCGCAGTTGACACGAAACACACGCAGCATGTTCAAGTGATAGTACATAACATGATAGTGTGTTTGTTGCTGTATATCATATTTGTTTTTTCGTTCATAGTTTTGTACATAAATTAGGCCGTTAGTTTTCTCGTTTGAATTGTTTTACATTTGTCATTGCGGGGCCATTTATATAGCTGATTATGCAGTATGATTTGCTCATTGTTGAAGGCCTTACGGTGACATATATTTGTTTACCTCTATGTCATTTGGTCTCTTTTGGAGAGTTGTCTCATTGGCAATCATACCAGATCTTCTAATATTTATACTTATTCAAATAACATATCGCACATTATGGATTAACAATCGAATGTTAAAGTATTATTTGATTCTTGCAAGTGCAGATTTAATGTCTAATTTAGAAGTTCTGATATAACGTATAAAACAATCAGATTTCCATCTTTCAAGTGTTTGTATCAAACTGTCCTCTATTCCTTGGGAACTGTCACTGTTAGTCGCGCCTATTCACAAGGAATGTCTGCTATAAAAGTTTTCGGTTTATCATAATGAAATAAGAATGGTTTACAACTTGTTAATGAAAACGTTCGAGTAAATGGTTTCATATTTTCCTCAACGAAATTAATGGCGGTTCTCACATTAGATACAGTGTAAGAATTTTAAGTTCTCGGGAATGGACAAAATATCTCTTTGTAAATGAACTTCGGTTGGACAATAAGTGTCATTCTTGTAGTTGATACAATATATTTGAAAACCTAATATCGGTGAAATAGTAACCCATCAACATTGTCAAGTTGTAATTATAAACTAAGAAGTAGATACTTATCAGCAAAAGTTTCTAATTGTAGTTTTTTACACGAGCGTGTGTATTTTTGTCACCTCAATGACTTTCCTTATGTCAGTTCTTCATATATATACAATACAAGTATCAATGATCCAATTGGTTGAATGAACAATATTCACAGAGCATCTCCTCCGTATTCCAAATATGAAATAAACAAAACCAATGTAAACTATCTTATTACGCTTACTTAGTTAAACAACTTCATAGGAACTATTTTATCACGAAAACCGTTTCAAACAGTCAAAAAGAAACAGAGAGAAATGCAACTGGTTACTTCCTGTACATTAACAGAAACCAGTGTAACTTATTGAGCACTGCTCTGTAAGACTGAAAGCTTGTATAAAATCATAAAGTTTGATTAAATTCCTTTCAAAATTTTGATACTAAGAAAAGGGATGTTGTGATTTAGTCTATACATATATTGGAAGGATGAATACCATGAATATAAAATGTTAGAAGAATCAATACAAAACAATATTGTATAAACCCAACTTTAAAAACATTCACCTGAGCAAATATTTGAAAATACACCATTTAATCATATTACCTTAAACTTTGTTAAAGTATTAACGCGAAGTCTATAATGCACTGTGCGGATGAACGAAAATTCAGTTGCAACGATCACGGTACCTATCCAGTGCAAGTTAGGTTGTTCTTTTTCTCCTTGACCTTTATTTCATACATAGGATAAAATCATCTATATTAACGAATGAAATTTAGTAAAAATAAAGTTATTTTTTTTCTTCACAGGAACCGGCGAGCATCGTGTCATACGGAAAAGATTTATCGGTGCTTTAATTGGTATCATAGGAATTGTAACTAGCATTGGATCTATAGTATGTGGTCTGTTTTGTCCAAGCGGTTCAAGTAGTTCAGATGGCAGCAGTAATTCAGGTAATAAAAAATAATAGTATGCTACAGATTTCCGGGAGAATGAGACGTGTTTCTGGAACTACGTCATCAGGTACGTTCGAGACAAGCATTTTGAAAGTCAAAAATACTAAATGTTGAGGTCGTTGATAAAGCATGCTATTTATATTACCAGTACTGTAGTTATAGCTTCATCACACATTTTGGTTTTACTCATAAATACATGTAACTCGATATAACCTTGGTTATTATGTAATCGTTTACTTTTTTTTATTAATTGGAAGTTTCCAGATAACCTTGAAACAAAAGAAATTATTTCACGTAATCATAACATTCACGTAGGTAAACGATGCATGGTTTACAGATTAACTAATAAAAAAGAATCAAATTGTCTTTAAAACTATCATAATTTTCGATATGATGAAAAGATTGAAAACATAAAATTGAAAATGGAAATGGGGAATGTGTCAAAGAGACAACAACCCGACCAAAGAGCAGAAAACAGCCGAAGACCACCAATGGGTCTTCAATACAGCGAGAAAATCATGCACCCGGAGGCGTGCTTCAGCTGGCCCCTAAACAAAAATATGTACTAGTTCAGTAATAATGGACGTCATACTAAACTCCGAAATATATAAAAGAAACTAAAGTTAAAAATCATACAAGACTAACAAAGGCCACTAGCTCCTGACTTGGGACAAGCGCAAAAATGCGGCGGGGTTAAACATGTTTTTTGAGATCTAAACCCTCCCCTATACCTATTGCCAATGTAGAAACAAACACACAGCAATACGCACAGTAAAACTCAGTTTAAAAGAGGTCCGAGTCCGATGTCAGAATAGGTAACAAAAGAAACTAAACAAAACGACAATGATACATAAATTAACAAAGGACTACTAGCAGTAACTGACATGCCAGCTCCAGACCTCAATTAAACTGATTGAAAGATTATGTCTTCATCATATCATATCATTGAATATCAAGCACAATCCCTCGCGTTAGGGGTTTAGTATCATACCATCATAAAATATATGAGAAGAACATAACCCGTATCATGCCAACAACTGAAATACGTTGTTACATATACGAGCGAATCATACAAGTTGAGATATATAAACACCATAAGATGGTGACAAGGGAACGTCACCATCTAAAAATGGATAATTAACATAGGAAAAGACAAATCATCTCGTTTTATCATAAATTTTGGTATTAGGCTTCCCGTTAATGATATAGATATCAAGATCTAGGAAAGGGCAGTGTTCATTGTTAGTATTAGCTTTATTTAAAGTTATTTCAACAGGAAAAATCTCTTTAGTGTACATACTGAAGTCGTCATTATTGAGAGCCAATATATCATCCAAATATCTAAAAGTATTATTAAATTTTTGTATCAGATGTTGTTTCGATGGGTCTTTGCTGATTTTAGTCATAAATTGTAACTCATAACAATACAGAAACAGGACCGCAATAAGTGGTGCACAGTTAGTCCCCATTGGAATTCCGGTAACTTGACGATATACGGAATCTCCAAAGTGAACAAACATGTTATCTAGTAAAAATTCAAGGGCAGTTATAGTATCAAAGCATGTCCAATTGACATAGTTCTTTTGTTTGTTGTTACTAAAAAATGACATTAAAGAGTTTGAACATATATATTCGAATCCTGACTTTTTAAATAACCTATAATACACTTATTTTCAAGACTTCTCCATAAAAAACGATAATTTGTTCTGTAAACGATATGTTGTAGCTGTTCTACTCTTTCAAATGTATGTGAAAAATACACAGCAAACATCTTGTTTTGTGTGCGGTTAACAAATACAACTTTTCGACAATTCAAAATGTCAATTTTACGATTTCTTTTCTTACTTTTTTTTACCTCACCTTCTAATCTTGTTGCAGGGCAAACTTTCTGTCTCATTCCGACGTGATCTTTTTTTCCAATTTCAGTCTAAATTTCCTGCCCCTTATCCCATGCGAACAACTTTGCAGTATCTGTTTAATTTACTGATATTTTGTTGTTATCCCTTGATATTTTTAAATATTTGCAACTGGACGTCAAGCAAACAGCAATTAATCTGAGCCCTTACCATTAACAATATTTGATAAACTTTCTCTCTAAGCTTGCAAAAAAAAACGTAGTTGTTGGGTACAATAGTGGAACAGGAGTTGCTAACCCTACTGGGTCAACTGATGATTTCCCATGTTTGTGAAGGGTTTCGTACTGCTCTTAAGTTTTCTTTTTAGTGCTTTGCAGACTGTTTATTTGTGTTTTAATCTTTTTCTTTTAGGATGTGTAGATCTTTTTTTACAACTTGATATAATTTTACCTCTTAGTATATATCCCTGCCTTTTTGTGATTCAAGTGGTAAAATATTTTGTTTTTATTTTAAAGGCCTCTAATTATCCGCTTGTAAGTCCTGTCCACTCTCTAACTTTTAAACGCTTTAGAGTTTAATAATGAAACTTGACATGATTATTCACAACTTCTAGAATGAGTGTCGCATCAAGAGAAGAAACCTCCTTGAGTGAAGTTCAAGGTCAAAAACTTTCTTATACTTAGTAACGCCTGTGCATTTGTAAAAAAAAATGTTTCCGTTCTCTTACTTTAAAACTCTTTGGAGTTTGATAATGAAACTTAAAAAGATTATTGACTGTTACTAAGTATGTCGCATACATAAAAGAAAACCCTTCAGTGAAGGTTAGGGTCAAAACCTTATTTCCTCCAATGCATACGTAGAAAAATCATTCCCTCTCTCTTACTCTAAAACTCTTTGGTGTTGATAATGAAACTTGACATCATTCACCACTAAAAGAAGGTACTTCGTTTACAAGGAACGACCCCCTACAGGGAAGGTCAAGGTAAAAAAAAACTTAGTTCGACTAAGTAATCCCTGTTTATATGTAGAAAAATCATTTCCGCTTCAAAAACCTTGCAGTTGAGTAATGAAATTTTACATTATTATCACCACTACTTAAATGTGTGTCGAGTACAAGGAAGAAAACTATACGAACAAAAACTTTGTCCATCTAGCCATCGCTGTGCATATATGCTAAAATGAATTCAGCTTTGAAATCCATCACAGTTAGGTGGTGTAGCAGACGTTTTCTGTCTTTCGATGAATATAAGCTCTGTTCAAATTAAAAAGCAAGTCACAATTTACTTAATAACTCGAGCGTGCCACTCGGTGATGGCTCTCATCATTATCCTCTAATTTTTGTTATTTTAGTCCCTTACTTTTTTACAAAAAAGTATTTTTTTAATATTAGTGAACCAACCACCAACTATAACCTGTCCAGATGTTGTTGATAAATTTATAACCAGCCGATTGCAAGATACCATAGTCATTACATGGGATGAACCAACAGCTACTGATCCCGAAGGCGAAAGTGTTGAGTGAGTTTTGTCAAATCTAAATGAATTAAATTGAATTTTACTACATTGAAAGCAACTTGAAAGGCAAAGGTCAAATTTATTATTTTTTAATTCAAGCAAACTAAATCCTGTGATTTGTTTTGTTTATACACAAAGTAAGGTTTGAACTCCAACTATCTTAATTGACTGTACTACTCAATTTTGGCTGTACGGTATTATTAAATATAATTATGTAGCTACATGTTCACAATTAATAACTTTTATATTGATATGTTTGATTTTGTAGCAACACATGTTACTGTTATAAACATATGGCTTTTTAATTGTATGCTATCACAGTAGTAAAGATGTTTATTCATATATAAGTTTGGATTCTACAACTACGCTTGCAGGATTTAATTTTGTTTGATTTTTGTTTGAATTTCTGTAATCATTATCATGTACGTACAATAATACACAGTGCTATCCGGAACTTATTTTACAAATCTTGAAAACCGCTTGTCTCACACGTAGTGATAGGGGGTTGCTTTCTCATTTTCTCATATTGTTTGATCAATTTGTTATTTTCATATTGTATTATGGTGCTCTTGTTGCACACATTGTGCCTGAGTGTACAGTAATAAACGAAACTAAATTTTCGTATGTCTTTATAGAATTTCAAGAACAGGTGATCAGTCAGGATCATCCTTTGGAAGTGGTAGCCATGTCATTACATACACAGCATCAGATGACAAAGGAAACAAAGACACGTGCAACATTAGATTTCAAGTTTCAGGTCAGTTTCGGCATTACTTCATCTTTCTATCGTTTGCAAAAAATGTTTTTTTTATCTTGATGTATACTTGAAACTATTAAAGTTTACACGAGATATCGAATTAAATGCCTCCATTCGGCGTGTGTTTGTTCGTATTTTTGCATCCTTTAAGAGAAACAGGAGTCCTCTATACTATTGACTGCAAGATATGTCAATCTAGGTGGACATATTTCTATACTCTCGGTCAACCCATGGAGTTAATCAAATATAGGATCATATCGTAATGTGCCAAATTTTAGTGTTTCCCTGCCCTTTGCTTTTAATATATTATCAAAAAGTTCATAAACGTCTTTATTTGATTAACGTTTGTAAGTTTGATTTGAAATGCATTTCCATTATTCTTTTATTCGCAATGTATTAAAAGAGTAAATTCTTCATTTTCTGAAACAGGTTATTTGATTGCATTGACAAACCAACCGTTTTGGCTCTGGAAAAAACATATCGGTATTAATTAACTTTGGTAAAAGTGTAAATATCTATTAAATGTACACTCAGTTATGTTATGAGAGTAATGAATACTCTATAATATATATATATATACATACACAACTCGTCTTAACATCAGCCCAACAATGCTTGATCTGTAAATTTGCTTTCGCAAATTTTTTGTTTTTCCCTCGCCGGGATTCGAACTCATGCTACTGAGATATCGTGACACCAAATCGCCTGCACTGTATCCGACGCACTAGACCACACGACCACCTAGGCTTCAAAATAAAGCTTTCGGTGGCCGGGTGTTACCTTTCCTCGTCAGTTTTAATCTAGCGTCGTAATACAGTACATGATATATAAGGCATGAAGATGGAATTGTTACAGATCATCTGAAATATCTATTGTAAAGGATCCTACAAATTAATGCAAGATACAGTCATAGAAATAATTATATTTATAAGTACGTCTGAACCAGTGACAACTCTACAACAGATTTATCCATCGGATCACCAGCAGTGATGGTGATACATGGCTGTGTACATTCTGTATATATAACATGTACAACTCGTCTAAACATCAGCCCAACAATGTTAGATCTGTAAATTTGCTTTTGCAAATTTTTTGTTCTTCCCTCGCCGGGATTCGAACTCATGCTACTGAGATATCGTGACACCAAATCGCCTGCACTGTATCCGACGCGCTAGACCACACGACCACCTAGGCTTAAAATAAAGCTTTTGGTGGCCGGGTGTTACCTTTCCTCGTCAGTTTTAATCTAGCGTCGTAATACAGTACATGATATATAAGGCATGAAGATGGAATTGTTACAGATCAGCTGAAATATCTATTATAAAGGATCCTACAAATTAATGCAAGATACAGTCACAGAAATAATTATATTTATAAGTACGTCTGAACCAGTGACAACTCTACAACAGATTTATCCATCGGATCACCAGGAGTGATGGTGATACATGGCTGTGTACATTCTGTATATACAACTCGTCTAAACATCAGCCCAACAATGTAAGATCTGTAAATTTGCTTTCGCAAATTTTTTGTTCTTCCCTATATATATAATTTCCACATATGTATTTGCAACATCAATCTCTATATACACGTAGCTCTCTTACTATCCCCTTAGGGTAAATTTCGGAAAGAGTCGTTTAACGATGTTCAAATCTCATAAATCGATTAAGAAAATGCAAATCAAGGTTACATTCAAAATTGTGTGAATCGCATCCAAAAGAAACAATACAGGGTAAATCGACTGGGTAACCGTATCCTGCTATGCATGCCTGACCACTATGCAGATTCACGCTTAGTCAAAATATATCAATCGGGAATAGGACATTATTGGTAGAATTACAGATCAGACGAAAATTCGGGCATCTTAAAGATCAAAGACCGCAAAAACATGTTGTTAGTGAGTTAAGACACAGACACATTGTATCGGGGTTCATAAACTGTCCAAGTTTCTCCGTCTGAAAGGCATAACTGCCCTTGGCGATTTTGGGTTTACAAATTAATTTCTTCAAGCTATAAACCCATACAGCAACTCTTAGATGGGTTTATACTTTGTCTGTAGGAAGGAAAATTTTGACCCTATCCAACATACCATAAAAGAGGGACGAAAGATACCAGAGGGACAGTCAAACTTATAGATCGAAAACAAACTGACAACGCCATGGCCAAAAATAAAAAGACAAACAGACAAATAATAGTACAGATGACACAACATAGAAAACTAAAGACTAAGCAACACGAACCCCACCAAAAACTGGGGGTGATCTCAGGTGCTCCGGAAGGGTAAGCAGATCCTGCTCCACATGTGGCACCCGTCGTGTTGCTTATGTTATTACAAATCCGGTAAATAGTCTAATTCGGTAGGTCACATTCGTGAAAAGGGAAGGGTATTGTAGTTAAGTCAAAAGGAACATATCCGATATCATCTGTGAAACTGTTATTCCATAACGGTCAACCAACTCGTGATGGCGTCCGTCAAATTTACGAAGGGATGATTTCAACTTCACCATTTGGAACTCTTGGTTTAATAGCTTCCTTGTGAGCAGCAATCCTCTATCAAGAAAATCATGATAGAAAATACAAGCCCGGGAATATCGTATCAATTGGGAGATATATACTCCGTATGCAGGCGCTGCTGGAATGTTGCTACATAGAAATTGAAAGTTCACAATTGGTAAGCTGAAATCATCTCTTTTGTCGTAAAGTTTTGTTTTCAACCGACCCTCATTGTCAATTTCTAGATGTAAGTCAAGATATGAGGCAGACTTAACTGTATCTGTAGTATCCTTTATCTCTAGTTCGATGGGATAGATTCGTTCAACATAGTCACCAAATTTTGTATTATTTAGTGAGAGAACATCATCTATATAGCGGAACGTAAAGTTAATAAATTGGCAGTGTCACTTCAAATGTCCCACATTTATCCACTTTACATAGCTTAACAATGAAATGTGCATTATAAAATTATTACAGAACGTTGAAAAACATTTATCTATCACAAACGTGTTTAGACAGGTTTGAAATAATTGAATTTTTTTTATTCACTTCGTATTAGGAACATTGTTGTCGCTTATAACACATAGTGTAATTAAAAATCTGTTGATATTTCGTCTTGATTCTTGAAAAAATACAGTTGACCGTTGGAATTATTATAACCTTTCAAGAAATCCCAAGAGGCAAGCTAGATGACAAAGTTCTCCGCTTTAAATGACCATGTTATGTTCAAATATTGACAACGTTTGGCAAAACATACACTTTTCTTGATTGGATAAATATGATTTCCCATTTTATGGATATCAAATGCGCTAAACAACAACAGCTTTATATACAAAACACAAATACAAAATTTCTTTATTCTGTCACATATATTTCCGAACAAGCTTATAATTCTACCAACGCCACAAAAATTGTTGTTTTAATTTTTAACATTCTTCCACTTTCATACAGTTCTTTATTCCATCAAATGGTAATCGTAGAAATAAACTATTAAAGAGGTTAACTACTAACTATCCTACTGCCTGTCGATACATTTATTTTTGGCATTGCACAAGTCATGTCTTCTTTGGCTGTCCATGACGTTAAAATACTAAATCCCTGGGATGTGTTTTAGTTGATTTTAGTCTCTGATGCATGATTTTTTATAATTAATTGTTTTTGGCTTTTAACTAGCTGTCAGGAACTGCGAGTACTCTCAAATCGTACTTTCTTGTTTATTTGACCTGTTGATATCAATTGTAATGCTTTTTTGTAACTTAATGTTTACTTATTCAGGGTTATATCTGTTCTATATACCAGCTTTGATAAGTATTTGGTATTACTATAAATGTTCACTTCTTCGTACTATGAACATCAAAATTATTTGTAAAAATATTTTCTTTCTCCATTGGAACTGTACACGTATACCTAACAACAAAATTATTTTCATTTACCTGTGTTTAAAGTAATTGCAAATGGCTGATATTTTTGTTCAAGCATATTGTTTTTCTTAAATTGTTTAACATTTCACAGCGGTATAACATGTTACTTTAATTATTCTTCCCTTAGTTTATTTATTTTGTATACCATTAAAACGTCTAAACCCGCTGAAATTGTTTGCACCTGTCCTAAGTCAGGAATCTGATTTTCAGTAGTTGTCGTTTGTTGATGTGGTTCATAAGTGTTTCTCGTTTCTCGTTTTTTATATAGATTAGCCCGTTGGTTTTCCCGTTTGAATGGTTTTACACTAGTAATTTATGGGGCCCTTTATAGCTTGCTGTTCTGTGTGAGCCAAGGCTCCGTGTTGAAGACCGTACTTTGACCTATATTGGTTTACTTTTATAAATTTTGACTTGGATGGAGAGTTGTCTCATTGGCACTCATATCACATCTTCTTATATCTATTAACATTTGTAATATTTAGATTTCCAATAGTCGAGTCTGAAATCGGTGCATATGTAGCTGTTTTAAGTTAAAACAAAATCAATATCTTTTTACGATTTCAGTAATCTACTGCTTGAAAAGTTTGTACCTTGAAAATGGGAAGATTGATTGTGATACATCAAGCCGTATATTCGGAACATCATGCATGTTTTCTTGTAACAATGGTTACCAACTATCATCTGACAACAGTTCTACAGTTGCATGTGACATTTCAAATTCCGAAGGAACCTGGGCACCTTCATCTCATGTTACATGTAATAGTAAGTGTGTGTATTTGTATAAAAATTAGATACTAAAAAAAAATACTAAAAGCCAATCAAATCACAAAACACCATAGAACACAGAAAATTTGAAATTCATCAATACGAAATGGGTGCTCTGGAAAAATGAGTGAGCAGTCCCTCCATCACTGTATTGGAGCACCTGCTGTCTTGTTCACGACAGACAAAAAGCCGGCAACATATTGATATCGATTTGAGTAGTACTTGATTGGCTTCATGCAAAATGTATGAACTGCATTAAATTTACAACAAGATACTATCTGAAAATTAACTTAAACCCTTGACTAGACTCGGTGTTTTCAGGTGCAGACTATTAAGATCATGTTTAACATTAAAATGGTCGTTTAACATTAAAATGAAAGCACTAGTGGTAAGTTCTATCATTTACTCTCTTTTGTTAACTCAAGATTACTGGAGGTAAACAATAGAAAATATAATGCTACAACATGTTCATTTGCATGTCCAAAATCACAAATATTGCCAATTGTTGTCTTAAGATATGTCTTAATATTTTGTGTCTTTTCTACAATCTAATCGAGTTGAACAGGCTTTAAAACGTGTCTCTATTTAACTGTAGAAAAGGTATGCCACTCACCTCATCATCCTTGCAATGGACGATCGCGATTAACTTGTTCCTCTGACAACTATGAGCACGGCACAATTTGTTATCCAGTTTGTAATGACGGGTATTCTACAGATTCCACTAAAAGCATAGTTTGTAATGGTGATCAGTGGACAGGTGTCATAGATCCTTGTTTAGGTATTAAAACACATTAATTTGTTAGATGATAAAGCCACAAAATCATGATTACACATTTTACCCTTTGCTGTGACGTAAAGTTATTTATCAACCGTAGTTTCTTCTTCTAAAACGCTTCACAAAACTAGTCACTGAAATACTGTAAAGTCAGTTGGTTAGAATTTAACCATTTTTTATGCATTTTAATATTTCATGTTTATATGAAAGAAAATAGTGGTATATATTTCTAACATAAAATTAAGTTGAGTTCTATATTATCTCGTCGAACAACATTTTGTTAAAAAAAAATTAATTGAAAAATGATACACACTAGAACAATGGACACATAGGGTTTGCAACTTTGTATATGTAAAAACCACGTTCGTATGCTGTAGGTTGTTATCCATGAAACTCAGACGATTTGTTCAGTTAACGTTGAGAGTAATAATTCATCAAAAACAGGCCTATAGTTTTGAAGGTCAGACGTGTGTTGCGTCTATATCAAACTTATCAGTGGTGCTCGAATCAACACAATAACATTTTTAAAGTTTTTTTGTTTTCATTTTTATTATTTTTTTCCGTTTTTCTTTCTTTCTGTGTTATTGTTGGACGGGTGTTTTGCAATGAGCACGCAATGTTTTTCTTACACTATTTTTACATCTTTTAATAGATGTCTTTAAAAAACACTTGATTCAAAATTTGGGTCTTTGATTTAAGCGGTTAAATTTACAGCTGACGTTTTTGACTATATTAATATATGGTATCTAGGTAGAATCTTTAGATTTTATGATATCAACAAATTATATTTTTGATTCTATATAAAAGATTCCGAAGAACCGAAATTTACCTTTTGCCCTACCACAATCCGTAAAATTGCCGATCGACCAAATGGAGAGACTATCGTTAAGTGGTCGACACCCATTGTGTCTGACAATTCCAAGAATGAAGAATCGTGTGGTTTTGGATCATCAGTTGAGATTCAGCAAATACAAGGATTACCATCAGGATCATCTTTTGAAGTTGGATATCATCACATTTTGTACAATGCTACAGATAGTTCAAGTAACATAGCCCAATGTACTTTTGTCGTGATCATTGAAGGTAAATATGTCAGAGTATAAATAAAGATATAACACTGAATTAATAAGTAATAGCCAATAAGAAAGCCGAAAGATACCAAAGGGACTTTCAAACATATTTTAAAATCAAAAACAAACTGACAACTCCCTGGTGATAAACGAAAAACGACCAAAAGACAAAAAACAGTATACAAAAAAACAACATAGAAACCTAAAGACTATGCAAAATAAACCCCACCAAAACATCGGAAGGTAAGGCAGATCCTGCTCACATATGACACCCGTCAACTAAGTATATGCATTTTTAAACAAGTATACACGAAAAGTGCAATAAAAATAAAACAATTAAAGATAGGGTTCACAAATTTCGTATGTATGTGTACAAAATAGTAATACAATTACAGTAATTTACGTACTTCATCAATAAAAAATCAAACAATACAGTTAACAAAATTCTATCAAGATGTTGTATTTTAAGAACAATTGATCTGATCAAATACAATGTATATATTATATTTTCAAATCAATCTGTTGAAAGAATTATCATGTGACCCTCTTGTAATGGACGATGAATTTGTATTGGTTACATGTCCAAACGGTTACACCTACGGGTCAACGTGTTCCCTTGCCTGTTTTATGAGTTACAAGCTAGTGGGTGATGTTAATGTTACATGTGAGAGAAATAAATCTGCAGAAGATAAATCATTTTGGAACTGGAACAATGAAACTCAGGCATTCTGTCAAAAACTATGTAAGTTAAGTAAAATTGTAAGTATACTCATTATGTATCGGCTATACAAGAACAATCACTTTTACAGATCTTTCTGTGTTAATTTTCAATAGTGCGCAGTCAAATGCCAAAGTGAGAATCCAACTAAAAGTCGAAAAAAGAAGAAAGGACAAACAGCAGTCTGCATAACACTTTATAAGAAACTAAGGACAATGATGAATCAGTGTTTGATCATTATAAACTTCAATTTGTATGTAAAAATACAGCAGCAAGTTAGTAGATAAAGATTGGTGTCTTCCTACACAGAAAACAGCAACACGAGCCGTACACAAACACGCGATGAATGTAAGTGCTACAGAATGGTTAGCGTATCCGGTTCCACTAGTAACACCCGTCGTATTGATGAAAAATATTCAGTGTCTGGCAATAACAAACATCTAATAATATAAGGTTGATGTCTTTTAGCTTACTCCAAGACGTCACGAAATTCATACACCAGCTATAGATGTAAAGTTTCTAACCCTTAAACCTGGAATATCGTATCAATTTTGAAATTAATACTTGATATACGAATGCGCTGTGAATGTTGCTACGCAGAAATGGAAAGTCCTCAATATCAGAATTGCACCTTTTGTCGTTATCGTTTATTTTTGACCATATTGTCAATTTCTAGATGCAAGTCGAGATATGATACGGACTTTACTGTATCAATTCTTTTACTTTATTTTAAGTTCGATATAGTAAAGGCAATTAAAACAATCACCAAATTTTGAATTATCAGTGAATGAACATCATCTTTATACAGGAACGTGAATTTAAATGATAATGTAACCTTCTTTTATTTTTTTTTTTAATAGCCCCTGTATTGCGTCTGCGTCATATGAATAAAGGAACAAGTTGACAAGAGAGGACGTCAGTTAGGTCTTATAGGAATGTCAACTGTATGTTGAATAAAAGTCTACCAAACGTAACAAATGTTATTGTCAATTAAGAAATAAAGGATCGTCATGATGTCATTTATCGGGAATATTTCGATTGAATCAAATTCTTTTGATACTAAAGTATGATTTGTCCTTTCTTAAAACAAGATATTTGCATCTTCGTTGGCCTTTCTTTTATGAAACAAAGGTGGACTAATTATTTCAGTTAAGAATGAGGAATACTCGTGTGTAAAGGTAGAGAAGTAAGATTTGTTATGGTAATGCACGAGGACTGGACTTAGATTGTATATACTACTAGAGGTCTTAATGGACAAATGGAAGTCATTTCTTTGAATATTAAGCCGTAATGGAATTTCTTTGACACAGATTACAATGCGTATCTTTTATTTTTGGTATCCAAAATCCCTTACATAATTTATTTTCCACAATGAATTATCTTGAAACCACGTGATTTCCGTTTTTGTTGAGTTGACACAGACTGAAAGGTAAAGGTAAAATTTCGTAAATTCATCATTTTTATATATCTTCCTGAAAGCAGGAGTTTACAATAAAAAAGTATAAAATACTCATGTATAAAAGGTGTTTTTGAACAGTACAGGTTTTTGGTTACAGCATGCCCAAAGCTACCTGTTCCTGAAGGTGGAGCATTGGCTTGTAGTACAGCCAGCGGTAGTGAAGTATGTACCATGTCTTGTTCAAATAAATATCAAGTTGCAAAAGGAACACCGATTACGTATATATGCAGTGATGAACAAATTTGGATACAAGGAATACCTCCAAATTGTACAGGTTAGAGACTAACTTTATGAACTGAAAATTCGTCTGTAAATTACATACCAATTCTGGTATTCTGATAATTGATTCACAGTCAATATTTTTCATCAAAACTGATTATTTACAGATACAAACTTAAACTTTCCAGATTCAAAAGCTTGTACAAACCACTAGTTGCAATTCGTATGTAATAAAGATGTTACTATGTTAATCAACGACAGACTCGACAAAGAAGGTATACCAAAGGGAAAAGAGATTTTCGAAAGTAGAATTCAAACATTTTCACTCGGCTGAATTTTTAAATACATTAACATGTGTTTATATACCGGTAATCTGCTCTAGACTAGACGTTTGAAGTAAAAAATCAACAAAAATATTTTGATATATTTACAATTTCTGAGGCCTTTATATATCAAAATAAAATCATGACTTGGTACAAAACAACATAACAAAAAACGTATTTTAATTTTACGAACGGTGGTGTGTATTTTGAGAATTTATTTTTATACTTGAAATTCAAAAAAATGTCAGACGTTGAAGAGTATTAAACCCAAATAACACTTACAACCACGAAAATTAGCTTAGAAACACTTGTGCACCGATAGCATAAAAAAGGTAAAATAACAAAAATACCGAACTCCAAGGAAAATTCAAAACGGAAGTCCCTTGACATTTAATCTGACAAATTTTACTTTGTTTTATTCAACTGAAAAAATTTCAACTGGAGGTATCAATGTCGACATAAAATCATGCAAATCCAGAAAAAATGACTACCCGACTAGTGAAGCACTTGAAGATTTGAAATCAGTCAGGTCTTCAATGACTCATAGATGTGTAACCCATATCCCTTCTTTTCTATTGGTTATCAAAATTTGTTGATTGATTATTGCTTAGTGTCGTGTCGCCGCAAAACGACTATATCGTGACGAAAATATTTAGGCAAACGGACCAAAGTTCAATCCGTTAATATCGCTAAATAATAAGACAATATTGCTTATATTTAGATACAATTTAATGTTAGAATTTAGGGGCATATAGTGCTAACCATATGTCATTTCGTCATTCTAAAATCAAACAAATGTCCGGACTTTATGTGTTATGCCTACAGATATTTTTTTCACAGTATAATGATGACTTACAGATCGAATTTGCGTTTTCTTCCAGTTTATCAACTTTTGGTGGAATAATGCTCCTTGGACTTCAAAAATTTCATAAAATTGGACTTTTTTTGGAAAGCTTGCATATCTGAACTCTATTTTTGATAAATTAGCGTATCATGATGACCTAAAGTTTGCGTTTCGTTCCGGTTGTTAGCTTGAGGAAGTCATGTTTGAATTTTATATAAAAATAAGGAGATGTGGTATGATTGCCAATGAGACAACTATCCACCAAAGTTCAAATGAAGTGGATATAAGCAATTAAAAGCAACTGTACGGCCTTCATCAATGAGAAAACCCCATACCGTATAGTCGGCTTTAAAAGCCCCCGACATAAAAAACATGAAACAATTCAATTGAGAAAATAAACAACCTAATTGATAACAAAACTATTTACGAAAAATAAATATGACAGACACAAACAAACGACAACCACTGAACTACAGGCGCAAGACTTGGAACAGGCACTTAAAGAATGTGGTGGGGTTTAATATGTTTGTGAGCGCTCAACCCTCCCCTAAACCTGGGACAGTGGTGTAACAGCACAAACAGAACAAACTATAAAAATAAAGTGAAAAAGACTGAACTCATCAGATCGATACAAAGCAGAAATACATCAAACAAATACACAGACCGGACGTGGGAGGTTATTTATCCAACCCTCATCCGTAACAACAAAAAAGACACTAAGTACAGATTTGAGAGAACTCGCAGCTACTGACAGCTAGTTCAAAGCCAATAACAACTGATAAAAAAATCATGTAGCTAAGACTAAAATATCAATCAGTACACATCCAACATCCGATAGATTTAGTGTAAAGGCGTCATTAACAGTCAGAGAAAAACATGACCTTGTGCAATGCCAAAATATAGGTATCGACAGATTGGAGTACCGTTAATGTACATGTGTGAATAACAATAATATTTAGTATGGTTTAAGAAAATGCCTGTACCAAGTCAGGAATATGACAGTTGTTGTCCATTCGTTTGATCTGTTTGTGCTTTTGATTTTGCCATTTGATTAGTGACTTTCCGTTTTGAATTTTCCTCGGAGTTCAGTATTTTTGTGATTTAACTTTTTAATTTACTGATAATAAAATAAATATTCATACCAATAAAAACAATATTCAAAGATTTAATTACAGTGTTGAATGGGTACAAAATGTAACCTTTTGGAATAAGTTTATTTAAAGTATTGATAAGTTCAAATGAAGTTTACCGGGATCGTATCGAAATTTCCTGGCTCGGTTAACAACATCACCGTAAAATTCAGGATGTGCTAGTCCGTTTGAAATAAGTTTTCTACAGGTTCAGCCAAACTTAAAAAGCAAATCTTTGTATCTATGGAAGAATTTAGTAAAGGTTATAAGTAATTTGTGGTAACGAAATCCCTGACTTAATAATTTACTAGTCATACATAGATTACGATCATTGAAATCCAAAACGTCACTACAGACACGGGAATAGCGAACGAGTTGGGATATATAAATGTACTTATTTTGAATTTCCCGTTTATAAATTAAGAAATTATTAGATAACTGAGGTTCCTACTCCATCAGGCAATGTTGACCTAAGATAATTTCAGGTATTCCATTTAGGTCCTTTTTTATCATATAGCTCCTAACGGTGCGCGTATTAACGCATACCTGGCTTTCAAATATTTAGGTTTGAGCGTTCCTGATGAGGATTAATCTAAAAAAGCGCTTCGGACGTACGAAATTTATAGATTGTTTAATTCTTTTATTAGTCACACCATAAACTCAGGGCCATGGGCAGAGTGCTGTATGTGTATGTTCCTGGTACAAATCACCTTGTTTACGAATACGAATACTGTATTGAATCCAATTAAAGGGCCCGTTTCCGAACAGAAATGTATATATATACAAGTCTAAATTGAAAATATCGTTCAAACCTATGATTGCGTTGGATAAAAACCGTAATTTTTATACGTGTGCATGCATAACAAATTTCTTGGTAGAGGGGTCTAAATACAGCACGAACAACATTTTCCAAAAGACCAAAAAAGTGAAAAAGTATATTTTAACAAAACGCATTTGACTAGCAGGTCGAACAACGAATGTTCTTGAATCCTGCTGACTGCCATGGCGATTGCCAAATAAACGGATCACCAGATGTAACAAAATGAATATATATATATATATATATATATATAGACAAAGAATAAGTTTACTATGTGACATCGCCCTTAGTATCTCTGAAATATTGGTCAATGGACGTTGAAAAGTAACCTTATTTCAACAACAGATTTCGTCAATTAAATAAATATTCTTGAACTTCATCCAAGTAAGCGGCAAAATTTAATGTTCAATGAGCTCAAAAGGATTGGGACTTAGATTTTCCCCTTGTCTAATTCTAATATTAGCTTTGAATTTATCTGTAAATTTTTCACTTAATCAAACTGGGAAAAAAATTATTATCATACACGTTCTTAATAATACTATAATAAAAAACCCCTATCCAATGTTTTAACAACAAGGCTTTATGCAAAATCAAATGCTTTCCTAAAATCTACAAAAAACATGCTTGTATATGAATTCCCATGAGTGTGCCTACAAGCGGGGTCAGTTGTATCATACAGACGCATATACTTTATTTTCGTTTAATCACGTGTTTAATTTTGTACCAGTGTGCTAACGCTTTTCAATATTCTGTTATAGACAAGGTGCATCCTAGGAATGCAATTGGAGAAGGGGAGTTTTTCTTATATTATGAAGGTGATTGCTCCGATCAAACTACGATTAAGACAATAGAAAAACATTTTATTGAAACAGTAAGAAGGGAAGAGAGAACAGAAGGATGGAGCAACCTCTGTTCAGGTAACTGTACAATAGAGGATGTTATTGTGGATTGTGGAGCCCAAAATGGAAAACGACGGAAACGATCAACTGAATCAGATGCATTTCACAAAATGTTCAAGCGATCTACCGAGCCTGTGAAGATAACGTTAAATTTTAAATTAACTTTCCCGTGGCAGTCAGACAAGGGCCTATGGGGAAATAACGAGATTTATACAAAATTGTCAGGTTTTATGAGCAATAGAATGAAAGAGTTTGACTTTCCTAATGTAACAACAGGTTCCATGAAGTTTGGATGGCTTGAGTACAATTGTCCATTGGGACAAGTACCAACTTACAATGACGATGGAACGTGTGGTAAGTATCATACGAGGAAACAAAACAACGTAGTGCGTTGAAAAAAACTTTATGGTTAGTCGAAAGCAAACTATTTTAAAAAGTGATGTTTATGTAACCATCTAGATACATGCATGTCGTCTCATACTGCAAACACAAAGTACAACTCTAGGCAGGTATTTATACCAAATTCATACATATTGTCTCTTTACAGTTATTGCAAACTGATTTGCTCTTACATGTGCAAATCATTGGAAAGATGAAACTATATATCAAAACTTTTTTTTCTGAAAAGGAGCCTTCCATTCTGTTTCTTTTTACAGGAAACTTTCAAATCAACAATCGTGATGAATTCTCTTGTTAATTGTGTTAAAAAATAGAAAGTTTGTGAAGATCAAATAGTGCGAATAAATCAATTTTTATATTTATGATAACGATTTTAATCCGTTATCACGAATGTTTGAATACTTGATCACGATTTATAAATCATATTTTTTGGAGGTCCTAAACGGGCTTCCGTACAGAATGATGTGCGTGTCAGAACAAAATAATTAATTTCCAAGTTATTGCTTAATCTCTCGTTTCTAAATTCTTGGGAGACACATACAATTTTAAATGTATATTTGACTGCAGCTTATGTTAAGTGCACAATAACTTGAATAATATAATGTTTACTTACAAGGATCATTAGTTTAACGGAGTCAGATGTTTAATGAACGTAAGATGTCTTCTTTCAAGTTATTAACTTCCTTGTTTCGAGGATAACAACTGGGATTTTTCATTACTTAACTGTTTCGGTATGTGTGTGTTTCCAATGACATCTCAGGTTGAAATCGAGAATATATCTTGTTTTTTACTTTAACAAACATTCCATATACAGGATTACAGTTATCATAGAATTGTCGAAACGTTTCCAATTTCATCACATGTATGAAATGAATTGCTTAATTGCATGTGTATTGTTACATTTCAGTTTTATATTAAAGGGACATTTTTGTTATTGTTTGATGCAAACTGGTATGAAATTGTGCTAAAATATTTATATTTGATTGAATACACTTGACAATGGTTTAAAAACAGTTTTAGTATTCTTACAGATTGATATCGCTCTGCTAATATACAGATTGAAACACAACTAAAAATTTGTGTTTTTGAATTTCTGTTCTTGGAATCCAAACATTATTCATTTTGGTTATTGCAGAAGATTATTTGTTCGTGCACTGTTCGAAACGTTGCTTTATCTAATCTACTTGGATGCACAGCGGCAACTATAAGGGTTTATGATTGCATGATTTGTATATGTATCGTCAGAAAAAAGAACTTTAAGCTTGCTTTCAGGACCTCCCTGTATTCTTTTGATATGACTGTTACTGGTTATCTGTTACCAATATCTTTGTTTTTTATTGTCTATAACAGAAGACATTTGGACTTAGCTGCTTTTATGTTATTCTTAATGTTATTATAGAAAGTCTCCGACACGAATTAATCGCATATTATCATAACGGTTCCAATTTCATGGCACCTTATCCCCCGTGCCTATAGAATAATTATAGGTTTCATAACGAGGGAAAATTGGATATCGATTGAAATCAACTCGAATCATACAATTTCAATATGATAATAAACGAGCCTTTGACAAGTTTATTATTTAAGAAATGAATGCTTCTTTTTGTTGTTTTATTGGGGTGTAAAAGTGTTGACCGAAGCACATTTTGTATGAAGCACGGAAGCGCTTCATTCTAAAAATGTGTACACGATCAACACTTTTACATCCCAAAAAAATTACAAAAAGAAGCATTCGTTTCTTAAAATTTTTATGCTAATGAAAAAACAGTTTTATCAAGTTTTTCTTTTATTTATCTGCGCACATTTTTGTGGAAGCACGTGTCATCACGAATGAAACATTTTATTTTAATATGAATGTTAGTTTTTGAATGACGCGCGATTATTGTTAGCCAATCAAACTAACGGATTCTCGTGAAACATACATGTTATGTAATTATTACTATTTAAATTAAATAACTAGAGTTGATATCAAGCGATATCTAATTTTCACAAGCTATTTAACCTATTTCTCTTATGCTAACATTCTCATTGTGTTAAATAAATAGTTGATCTAGTCTTTGCACATACAAGTATGCCGTCTTATATCCTGTTCCGGCGTCATACTTAAATATCAGACATTCTAAAACTTTTTGTATGCTTCAGAATGTAATAAAACTTGACAAAATTAAGATTTTCAGGTGAAAAGTGTGAGTGTTTTGTATATTCTTAAAGAAATCACATATCTCCGTTGCCATAGAGGAAATGTATATCGTCCGTGCAATGTGATGTGAAAAATATGTCTTCGTGCGAGAAATAGATATCAGGCCACAACCATAAGAGAATACACAATCAGCAACCTCCTGTGGTAGTGATTACCGTTTTAGAAAATTTTGACTCGATTACATATCGTTAGAAATTATAGCCGTGTCAAAAATCGCTGAGATTTTATTATTTCATTATTTGTGTTATTGTTTTTTATATATATACCTTTCCATATGTATTCATTTAGTTGGATGTTTCCCAGGACAGTACTTGGACAATGATGACTGTCTAGATTGCAGCAAAGGATATTATCAAGACAAAGCATATCAAATTAACTGTGAGAAATGTCCATCAAACCAGTCAACTGAAAGTACGAGATCAACGTCAAAAAATGATTGTCAAGGTAATTCTTTGCTACAAAAATGTATGAAAAACATTTATGATGTTGGGTGCGTAAATAAGGGGGATAGTATTTTTAAAAAGGGATCTGATTTCTACGAGACAGATTTCTGGACTTCAACTTTCACCAGTATTTGTTTCGTTCAGAAGATCAAAAACCGAAATATTTTGAAACCTACTGCAATTTGAATATTTAAAAATTTTAATAATCTACTAAAGGATTGTTTAGCAATTTTACATTTATCCATGACATCAATGTTATCATGTGCTACACATTGCTGTTGAAAACAATGTTTAAGTTTTTAAATTTTATTTTGATATTTGTTCCGAATTATCTTAGTAATGTTGTTGATTTCAGATGTTTGCCAACCAGGAACATATTCAAATACAGGCATAGTTCCCTGCTCACCGTGCCCACTAGGGCATTATCAACATGATTACGGTGCAACAGTGTGTCTTTCCTGTCCATTACATACATTCACGTTGTCCACTGGCTCTAATGATTGTCAAAGTATGTATGATATCGTATTTCTTAAATGAATCCTGAAAAGTACCATAAGCAGTTTCGTAAGTACAAAAGCATATAATGCCTAATAGATTATTCAAAATATTAAACTGCTTGTTATTGCTTATCGTACAAATCTAATTCATTATGTTCTACCTCGCTATGCTTATACGAACATACAAATTGTCTTAATAAAAAAAAACACAATATGGGATGAGCAATCGCCCTGATCATTTAATAATAAATAACATGACTAATGCAAAATCTGTAAAGCATGGTCACCTAAGCTCCGAATAAATGGTAGGAAATCTACAAATACAAACATCTGTAATAAAAAAAAGACAATTTTATGAAAAAACACATTAAAAATGTAAAATATACGTCGATTGTGAATTTTTCTCGACGAAAGAAAGACGCTAGATCGAAAGAACTGTATGTGAAAAACCAAATTACTCAAGGTGTATGCAAATAATATAAGCAAAATTTAGAAATAAATACATTAAATTGAAAGGAGGAAATATGAGTTTGGGTAAAAGATATCAGGACAATGTAATTGGGAATTGGTGCAGAGGTGAAATTTGGCAAAGTCAGTCACACTGATTGGGGAGGGAGCGGGTGTAGTCAGTAAAGCCGATAAAAATAAAATATGAAGAATGTGGCTGTCATAAAAAGACGTTTTTAAAAGCCAAGTTTCAGTTAAATTGGTATGAAAATAAATCTGAATGATAATTTATGTCATAAAGTCAACGGCAAATGTCAATATTGCCAAAACTTGGAAGAAATGAAATTATCTTGCTTGTAACTCTTGCTAGTTTTCTAGCGGTGATTTTATGATTCTTGTTAAAGATATCATCTATGGCTCATTTAAAGGGTTCAATCTTATCTCCAGGCATCTCCAAATTAAAGGTATCTAAATGCATGCAGAACCCAAGCCACATTTACATGGTTAACACTTTTGTGGGACCTAAATACTTTTTTTCAATAATTTGGGGAAAAAGCGGCCGACTTTTTACAAAATGAAAAAGCGTCATACAATCCTCAAAAGAGAACTCAATGCCACAGCCACCATCTTAATAAGCGATCGTACGGTAAACTTTGGATTTCCACTGCTTAACTAAAGGCCACAAAACTTTGGAGAAAAAGTTACCAGCTGTAGATAAACTAAACGGTAAATATCTGAAAATGAAATACCGAGTGCCGTTTGAGATTACCCAACAAAATACTAAAAACTCTTCGTGATCTTTAGTTATATCAATATAATGATAACCACATCTCAAATCAAACTTAAACATATAATCCTGGATTTGAAAAAAATTACAAGGCCTTAGTAACGCCTTCGTATTGAAATTTCCTTTTTCATTAAACTAACTAACATGCATAAGGTTCAAAATCAACCTCTTTTTACCTGTGTCGTTAACTAACACCGATAATGGACTAACAATAAAAGGAATGTATTTGTTCACCTCACGAATCACACTTGATGACAATAGTTCTATATATGACGACTCAACAAAAGATGCGTGTTTTATAGCTGAACTATTGTTCTTTAAAAAGACTGAAGTAGGCGATTTGTAAAAAGAAATTGTATACCCAAATTCAACCACATTTAGAACAAAATTATTTGTTCTAATGTGTATTTCCAAAAATCTCAATTTCTTCGTAGTTTATCTACTCTAAACGAACAATCTAAAGAGCACTCATATTCGAAATCTGGTTCATGACTAATAAAAGGAGATACATTGTACTTACCTGTTTCATCACTTTGGTCCTGTGGAACTGCTGTTATCGACGGGTTGAAATTTACGTCTCTTTGGGGAGTGATAGATACGATGACTCTCGACGTTGCAGAAATTACACCTATCTGTGGACTTAGAACTGGTGCAATGGTCGTTATGGTGGTAGATACTAGTGCGAGATGGTCCTTTGAGGGCTTGTTGGTCGTGTGCAGAAGGATATTTGTGGTTCTAGATGCTTCTCTTGAAGAATGATGTGCCAGTTTTACAAAAAGACTCATCTTGAGTCACTGACGGAATTCTTTCTAGATCTTGAATTTAAGTAGCAGAATGGGTTTTAGCCCTGTATCTAGCTGTTCGTAACTTGATTCCGTCGTCGGTCATGTCTGTCATTGGATCATCTATATCTTGATCGACTACATTCCTTCAGTATTTAACTGCTATTCGAAGTATATTGTTTCTCTATTTCGGAGCTTTTTAGATTGTACTAAATACTGAATGGCCATTGCTGGAGAGCCTTTTTCAATTAGTTTTATGCTCTTTTATAGCTCAAAGATACGTTCCCCCCTTAAAATTAAAATTGTCTTTTGTTTGCGTCGTACCTGAGATGCGGAATATGTTTTATTGAAGGAAAAAATTCAGCTTCTTTAGCTCCAATAGTTGTGTCTATCTCCTTCAAGAGCTCTTCTTTGTTCCTTGTTTAATGTCAAATCTATGGTCTGGGTGAACAACGCTACAGCATCCTCAGGTGAAAATCGAGTAGAAGCTTCACGTTCTTTACTGCGTTAATTCGTATAGGTCACTCTGGTTCACTGATAAGAACAATACGTGTCGGTTGAATTTTTCTCGACGATAGAAAGGCACGAAATCGAAAGAAATATATGTGATAAACCCGAATTACCTTAGGTGTATGCATATATTTATACGCCAAAATTAGGAAATGAATGTATTCTAGTAAAGAAATAATAAGATCTAGTAGTTATTTGACCAGAACACGACACTCCTGGTATGGTGCATAGTATTTAAGAATAAAATATTGATATATATATTTCATATATTGTATATCTATAATAAAATCAAAGCGCCCATACCATCAGGTGTTTGATGCATTTTATTGATATCATTAAAGTCAATATTAAATTAAAGTTAAAACGCAACGTCAGCGTTACATTTATGTACAATGGCCGAAATTGTATTAATAGCCAATGAATACAATCGTTAAATAGTGTTACAGTAATCAAAGGAGAAAAAGATACTATAAGGTTTTATAACAATACAAAATGTTCCCCGTGTGCACTTTTGAGAACCGGCATTTCTACAATAGAAAAACATTGACACAAAAAGTTTTAATATTGCAAACACTAATTAAAACGAATATATAATTTTTCTTCTTTAATTCTAGGAATGGACGTTTCATTCACTACAGAGAATGGCTTGATGAATTTAAGATCATTGCCATCTAATATTGACGATTATACACTTAGCGTTCTGTTTAAACTTAATTCTAATTCGCAGTGCATCGCCGTGACCCTTGCCAATTTCCAGATAAAAATAGGGATAGATATCGAGATATCAGTTGCAAGGTATTAAATAAAAGACTATTGGATGGAAATAGACAATTTTCCTCGCTTTGATTGGCTAAACACAATTGATCTATAAATTCTTGCTTTTTATTTTTTTATTTCTTGATTTCTTAATATTACGTGCAAAGCTATAAGAAAGAGAATTCTTTTTAGGAAACAATTAGAAAGAAATATGTACTTCTTCGTGAATGTACCAATAAACTATTACACTTTCAGTTGTGTTTCCTTTCTAATAGCTCTGCGCCTTCTTGATGTGTTCCCAATGTATGTGGCCATTATGATACGTTTAATTATGACAGTATTTAATGTATTTACGTACTAGAATGTGTTGATTTTCCATGACACAAACATATAATAGTCAATATAAAAATATTCAAAAGTCTATTCTGAAAAAAAATATGTATGTTGTAGTAATGAATATAGTTTCATAGTTCCAAATGCTACAGTATCCACAGTATGGAATCGTGCTTCAATTGTTTGGAAAAAGTCGTTACAGGAGGCAAGCTTCTTTTGGAATGGAAATAAAATTACTTCACATATATTTGATACTGCGACAACTGAAGAAATTCAAGTTATTGGCGACAGTTCCATTCAAATCGTAGCATTGTCAATAGGTAAAGTGTCGTTGCTTTAGATATATTTCTTTCTTAAAAATATATTATTTGGGTATTCTTACATGTAGCAATTCATCTAGGAGAAATAAAATGTATTAGCCTTGTCATAGGGAGATGCATTGACCAGTGAATTACTGTGCGCCTAACAGATACAAAACATTAATTTTACATTTCTAGTAAATATAATTATATCAAAATATTTTGAAGGGTCTGTGTATGTTTATTTCACAATATGAATTACCAGGGTAGAGTTTATTCTGTATTCGTTTCAAGTGAAATAGTTGTTGATATAACTCGTCTTATGTCACCTGCGCAATGTTTGTTTAACAAAATATGGAGAAAATATAATTCAACGTAATGTAATAAACTTTGGTCTTACATATTCGTTTAAATAATTTCTTCAATGCTTTTATTTTAGAATGTTCCTATACCGGATTCATGTTTGCAACTGAAGCCCTGTCGGATAGTACAATAGAAGACCTTGCTAAAAGTTGTTTTCAAACTTTAGATGGGGTTGTCTTGACTATGCATGACTTATATATATCAGAAAAATCGGACACACAGTTGACATATTCCAAATGTGACGGTAATATAAAGATGTCTTACTTGAAATGAAACAATTGTAGCATGTTTAAACTGCTATGTCTTTTTTGGTTTTAGCTTTCCAATTTTGTTCCATCAAATTATATTACGAGGTAAACATGTATTTTAAACAAATGGTGAGAAAACGTAAACTAATTAAAACACTACAAGGTGACTTTGAAAAATAAATTATTGTCCATATCTACTGGCCTATGTATGTTGTGACAAATCTCTCTAAATTATCATCATTGTTTATTGAAGAATTGGTGATTTACGGTCGTATTTCGGAATTGTTCAAAATCAATTTTGCTGGTTTGAATTGAGTTTCGATATTAGATTTTATACGTTGAAGCAATGCAACAATTGCAAGTGATGAGAGCATGGCATATTCCCCATCAGGTTCACTTTCATTTTGTATTGTCGTTTTTTCTCTCTCTTTTAGATACCGTATTCATGTCCTTTATCGAATTCTTAATATTTTAATTGCCCCTTTCGGATCCATTTATGTTTTCGTATAGTAGTTAACATTGCGAACCAAAAATATCTATATATAGCGAGTTCTTTAAGGAACACTAAATCTTGTTATTCTATATGTAGTAAAATTAACTTTTTTCCAGTATTTGACGAATGCATTTCAAGTCCTTGTGGTCAAGGCAACGTTTGTGTTAACAAACAGTCTGGGTATCAATGCAAATGTCTTGGCGGATACAGTGGAGATAACTGCGAGGTTCCTCCAGACTTCTGTGAATTAAATGATTGTAGAAACGGTGCAACATGTGCGAGTCACTTCTCCAATTATACATGTCATTGTTCTGTAGGATTTACTGGGACTTTTTGCGAGAGTGAAATAGGTGAGGTTTTTTGTTTTAAAGGTCATTGCATTCGCTTAATTATTCAATTTTATATCAAGATGTAAACTTATCAAAATTGACGTTGTGCAAAGTGCGATTTACTATTTTTTAAAGATATTGTAATTAATAATCGTAATTTATTCCAACGTGTTCCCAATAATTATTAAAAGATTTCTCAACAAATCAAACAGTACCGTATATAGTAATTAGGCAGAGCACCATTTGCTTTATACAACATGAATATAATTCTTCTCGGAATAAATACATAGTATTTAAAGTAATTATTTTTTCTAGTCAATGGCAACTGGGGTTCTTGGTTAAGTTGGTCAGAATGCTCAGCTTCATGTGAAGGTGGTACCCAAACAAGGGAGCGTTATTGCAATAATCCAACTCCCGATAGATATGGTTTAGCCTGTGTGGGCAGCAGTACATCAAATCAATCGTGTAACATAGACCCTTGTCCGGGTATGTATTAAGTAAAACAGGGCAAAATGTATTGTATATATCATTATTAATTTAACAAAATATTACTTTCAAAATTATGTTTGAAACGTTTTAATAATGCAAATATAAACAGATAGAAATTAATAAAACAAAACGGAAAAAAATCTCAAATCTAAAGTACATTTTGTGCATTGATACATGTTCTCCTCGATTTGTTAAAAAATCCATAAATATATTACAAAAAAAACGTGTACAATTGTCAGTAGTCTTTGATTTTTATGTCGACGGCGACAAAAGTCGCGGAAGCGAGACATAGCTGTCCAAAATGTTTGTGGTTAAAGTTGTTTGTGATCAAACCCTATTAAATTTTTCAAACCTTTATGGAACGAAACTTAGATAGAAGCTTTTTCATCATCAAAAGACACTGCCAAGAACAAAGTTTTAAGATATTTTGTTTTCATTTTTCTATATTTTACGGATATAAAGACACTTTTTGCAGTTAACAAGTCGATACATTCAAAAATGGCATTACTATTGTCAAACCTTCATTGAATGTTACGAAACATGGGCAGCATATTCTTCATGATTAAGTAATTGCGCTTGAAGCAAAGTGATTTGTTGATTTATTTTATTGATAAATGGACTTTTTTTCGTCAACTTTAATCTATGCTTCAGACAACAGCAATCGCAGGCGTGACACATGATTCCGTTGAACCCTTTTATAATTTATAATAAAAGCTGTAATATGTTCAATGTAATTTATATATAAACAATATTTGTTTTCCTTTATTCAGTGTGTCCTGATTTCTTTAAGATATATGCATACAAGAATGCCTTCAATTGTACAATGGCAGCAGATACTATATCATGTACCGTATCTTGTCAAGATGGCTATACATTTGTTAGAGATTATCTCCCCCTTGATTTGTATCAATGTGGACCTGTGACAGGATTTACCTGGAATGCCCGACCGCCACCATGTGCTGGTATATATAATTATGTTTATTATTAATTTGTAGCCAATTATCATGTTTGATTTCCTGATTTGTACGTGTAAATGTTTTTTATTCTAAATAATGGTTATATGAGCCTTATTTAACATAGCTCAAAGTCACAGCAAATTAGAAAGCTTTCCATTAGATATATTTATTTCAAAAATGTGCATTGTTTTAAATGCTTCTGAATACTGTTAAGCACAGCTACATTACTTATAGGTTAGATAAAACATGACCAAGTATTGTCTGACCAATTTAGAACATATTGGCACCTTCGAGTGACGTAACAAAATTAGCCTCTCATTGTAATAATCAAACTTTGATATTAGCTCACTTTAAGTGTTAACATGGTTAGTGAAAGTGATGTAAATCATTTAATGGTCATTTACAATGTTGAAATCTCAACTCAAAATGATTTTATAGTTCTATTCTCTGATTTCGTTTATAATACTTGGACAAACAAACAGTTCTCGTGATTTTTTTTTTTTTTTGCTCATTTCCCTAGGACATTGCGCTGAGGGATTGTACACTTCGCTAGTGCAGTTTTCAAGAGTTCACTTTCATAATTAGTTTACAATGAAAAGTAATTCATGTATAGCATTTTATAGTTCATGGAAAGCCATGTACTATGAAAAATAGAATGGAAAATACTGATTTTCCATTGGACGAGAATGGGTGAGTATGTTCTTAAGTTGAAATTGAACAATTCTATATAATTAAACATACACTTACAATTTCTCGTCCAATCAATTAAGTATCAATCAAGTATTACCACAAGGTAAGATTTCATTGTATAATAATCAAGATCTTAAAAACAAAAAGTGCCACTGGCTATTTGGAAATACAATTTTGTGTCCCAAATTAAAAAAAGTGATTGGAATTAGTTTCACATTGTTTTAATATATCCTGCTATTAAAATCTTTGGTTTTAAAAGATGATGATGATGATGATGATGATGATGATGATGATGATGATGATGATGATGATGAAGCATTTAATTTTAACTGTGAATTTTAAAAGATGATGATGATGATGATGATTATGATGATGAAGCTTTTTATTTTAACTTTTAATTTTAAAAGATGATGATGATGATGATGATAATGATGATGATGCTTTTAATTTTAACTTTGAATTTAAAAAAATCCAAAACCTGTTATCTTATAATTGATCTATTGGTATTTGCGTTTTAAATGCTTATCCGGTTGACTATATCAATGGCCACATTTATCTATATTTTTCAAATTTAGCATAGCTTTAGTTTTACTGTGAAATTGAAAAATGTTTTCAAAACATGTAAAACGCTAAATGCAATTCAGCTGTATATAACTTTTTGGGTCATCTTACCATGTGAAGAAGAAGACATCTATTTATTTTAATATACATACTTACATCAGCAGCTACCATCTTTTCATTCTGGAGTCAATAGGCTTTTAAACTCGCATATTGTCATGAGGGATTGACTAATAACCATTAAGTTCCTAATTCTTGTGTGCTGCATTTATAAAATCATGACCTGGTAAATCACTGTCACAATTTGAACAAATAGGATAGCTATGATACTAGTGCGTAAATTTACAAGACATCAAACTAAGTTAATAAACTCTGTTTTACAAACACCTGTAATACAGGTAGTCAGCTAAAAATAAACTATCAGTAGACTAATTGAAAGATTACTCGATTTGTAAATATGTGCTAAAATAGATAGTAAAAAAAAGGGTATATACTATATGAAAATAAGTGCCCGGTGTAAGCCGCTCGCTCTAAATTCCATGAAATATACCTTTCCATAGACTAACCGTTACATGTCATTGTAGAACATGACAAACGAGGTATTAACATATCATTAGTATCAGTTTTAATAACCAATATATGCATCTAACGGATGTCTCCCTACAGGTTTGTTTCTAATCTTTACACTTTTTTACATGCAAGTTATAGTATGGAGCTTATAGTCGTAATGTATCTGATTTATAAAAGACAAAAAGCACAAAACAGCTGATCTTGGTACTTACAAAAGTGTCTCCACTGAAAATCCAGGAAAATATGAAGATGGATGATTGTTAAGTTCTTGGCAATTTACACGCATATTCAGGATGAGAACATGTTAATGGGATATCAATATGAACCCTGCTTTGAAATTGATCGACCCGCTGAGCCGTATTGTTAACGTGCAAGTTCACAACGTAACAGTCCACAGGAAGACATGTCACCCTACCCTTACACACTATTCTGAATTGAAACTGACCAGTCTTTGCTGTTACTGCTATATTCCGCGAGCTTGGCGGAGTAGCAGCAAATGCCAATTTTGAACTCTTTGGTTTGACTAGGTCGGTTATCAAACCCACGACCTCCTACACTCGATGTGGTTCCAGTGAAAGATATATCTGATAAAAATATTGAATTTCATCTCTTTCCTAGTGGTATTATATTAAAAGAGTTTACAATAGAAGCATACTTGTTAAAGCATCGACTATTCGTGTGTGTGTGTGCGTGAATTCTAAAGAGAAATAAAAATTTTGAAATATAATTTGTTTCTATTGAAAATTAGTAAGAAAGTTGAAAAAAAAAGATTGAAAAAAATCCCTGTTCCTCTTTTATTGCAAAAAATTTAAAAGGGTTAACATTTATTAAATAGCGATAATTAGTTAACAGACACTTTTATCTTTCATCTTTCAGTATACATTGTAACGCAATAAGGGATCTTGTTGATACAACGTGAATAAAATTCATTATTTTCAAGTGGTATTATGAGAACGCTACCGCGACTACTGTTGATTTTTAATCTTTATAAAAATACCAATGCGTTATTTTTCCCAAATTAGTGAAGACGTGCTAAAATAAATTGGTATCTAGTTCAGTTTAATGTTAGATCAGCGATTTTTCAAAAATTCCAAAATCAAAAAGAATTTTCAAAGTATGGACATGGTACTGTCCGTGTTTTATATTTTACCTGTAGTTCTTTAAAACAAAAACATTTTTTTTTGAAAAAAATCATTACCAAATTAGAAAAACAAATCAACTTCATATTTAAATCCAAAACGTGACCACCTTTTGACCAACGTAGTTCCAAAATATATCACTCACTAATTTGAACTTCCTATGCAAATTTCGTTGGAGTGTGGATTTTTTTATTCGAGCGTCACTGATGAGTCTTTGGAAGACGTCTGGCGTCCTGGTATCTATTATTGGTTTAATTTGCTAATAATTTGGTTTTGTTCACATTACCTTTGATGTCTTTCAAAACAGAGTGTATATATGTTATTTTTACCTTTCTTGTAAATCATCCAATTGTGCACTTCAGTAAATTATTGTCAGTCATGTTATATCAAGACAGCATTGCAATTCTTATGATATAAAACTGAATATGTTTGAAGGAGTGAGGCTTGTATTGTACTCCAATGTAATCGTTTGTTAAGTGTGGGTATCTGTGTGTCTTGAAAACCTGACTCTTTATTTTATGTTCTTTTAAGTTGTCATAGACAAAACTCTTGTCAAGATACCTTATTATCTTATGAAAATAGGTATAGAAAATGAAAATAGTACTTTATAAAATGTATGCGTCCGAAGTTCTTTTCTGAATTGATAATAAGTTGGGACATCCTATCCTCTTTTGTACTCAATGCTAATGTTTTGTTATTTTTTTTCAGGTGCAAAAAGTCCAAGGACACTACAAGTCGGCACTTCTGTTAAGTACAGTGCAGATTGCAGCAACGAAAACCAAATTTCGATAGCTTTATCGCAATCTTTAAACGAACTTCAGTGCGTCCAGAATAATACATGTATAGCTTCCGCTGTTACATCTGGGTGTGGTGACAGTCGGAGAAAACGATCAACGTCATCATTAAATGCAGAAGTACAGCTTTATTCAGGACTTTCACAGAATGCTTTAAATTTAGATACATTCTATTCAAACAATATAGGTACGTTTTCGGTCTTTCAGTTTAATTAACAATAACTGTAAATAGCATTTGATTACGACAAACGGATCAAATGAAAGAAAAATAGTTTTGATATCGTAAATTGGTATATTTTACGCCTAAGACGAAAATGCCAAAGTTAAACACACTAAAATATAACATGAAAATGAACAAATGCAGTATTTTTCGATGATCGTAAAATAAACATTACATTATTTGCCGTTTTACCCTTTGTAATAATATTAATAGTATTATACTATTCAATAATAAATAAAAAACTCACACTTTTCACCTATAAATGTTCTTTTTATCTAATTTTATTACATTCTGAGGCGTACAAGAAGCCTGAAAACGCCCTTTGACGCCTGAAGCATAATATGACGTCACCTAGTCTAGTTACCAAAGACGATAACATCATTTCGCGGAATTTTCGTTTTATGAAATTTTACACAGGAAATATAACTGAAATGGAATGATTTGGGCGCAACACGGAACAGCCAATTTTGTGTATTAATGTGTCTACGCTAAAAGTAGATATACTGTGATTATACTGGTTCACGATACATAGGTCGTCGTATTAGAAAATTCCTTACAGAGTTTCTTCAAAAAGAAAAAGGAAAAATTCTGCTGAAAACTGTTGTATTTAACTGAAAGAGGATCAATTTGTCTAGACAAACACCAAGAACAGATAATTGACCATTTGGAGTCATAAACGAATCAGGTAGATTGCCTGCCTGACCCAGAGATACGCTTGGTTGCTATTTCAGAAAAGCCTCCATTTCTTTCAGTAACCAAGCATGCAGATGAAGATTTTCGAGACCCAGATGAATCTTTCTTCCCTTGAATTGAGAAAGTAGATTGTTCCTGAGAGGAAGACGGAGTGACTTGGTACAACACAGAAAAAGTAGTTCTGGAAACCACAACTGTCTTTGCCATGCCGGAGGAATAAGAATGGTCTTCCAACGACCCCTCTGAATTATGTGCAAGATCTTGGGAAGAAGACGAAAGGATGGAAACATGTAACTGAATATTCCCTTCCAAGATAGGATCATAACATCTACTGCTCAAGATTTTTCGTCAGGAATTGGGGAAACGTAAATCTCCACCTTGTGATTCAGACTGGTTGAAAAAAGATCTATAATAGAGCGATCCCACCGAATATTGTAGTTCCCATTCGGTGTTCACTGGAACACGTGAACGGGATAGGGCATCCATCAGAAGATTTTGACTACCTGAACATGTCTCAACTATAGAAGTATCTCGAGACTGTGACACAGAATAATGTCCTTGCTCAGAAGATACAGAAAAAAGGATTGAGTTCCCCCTTGATTCTGAAGGTAAGGCACTTCTGTTGAGTTGTATGTGGTAACTAGCAGTAACTGACCTAGAATCACAGCCTAAAAATGAAGAAGTGCGAGTAACACAGCCTTCATATCTGGGAGATTGATGTGTTCCCCCAAATGAGCACACAAAGACCTGAGATAAGCTTTCCGGCCCATCAACTTCGCATTTGTGAACAGATGTAGAATGGGGTCAGGAGGGTCTAACGATACTCCCTTCTTAAAAGAGGGGCGGAAGATACCAAAGGGACATTCAAACTCATAAGTCGAAAATAAACTGACAACGCCATGGCTAAAAAGAAAAGACAAACAGACAAACAATAGTACACAAAACACAACATTGAAAAACTGAAGACTAAGCAACACGAACCCCACAAAAACTTGGGGAGATCTCAGGTACCCGTCGTGTTGCTCATGTTAGTACAAACCCGGTAGTGAGTCTAATTCGATAGGTCACATTCGTGACAGGATTGTAGTTACGATATTATGAACATATCGACTATCATCTGTAAACCGGGTATTCCGTAACGGTCAACCAACTCGTAATGGCGTCCGTAAAATTTACGAAGGAATGATTTCAACTTCACCACTTAGAACTCTTGGTTTAATAGCTTCCTTGTGAGCAGCAATCCTCTATCAAAGAAATCATGATAGGAAATACAAGCCCTGGAGTATCGTATCAAATGGGAGATATATACTCCGTTTGCAGGCGCTGCTGGAATGTTGCTACATAAAAATGGAAAGTTTTGTTTTCAAACGACCCTCATTGTCACTTTCTAGATGTAAGTCAAGACTTAACTGTATCTCAAGTTCGATCGGATAGATGCGTTCAACATAGTCACCAAATTTTGAATTATTTAGTTAGAGAACATTATCTATGTAGCGGTAATTTAAGTTAAATGATACTGCTAACTTTTTTTCTTTCTTCCTAAGAAGTTCCTGTATGAAGTCATATGAATAAAGGAACAAGTCGGCAAGAAGAGGAACACAGTTGGTTCCCATGGGGATGCCGATTGCGTGTTGAAAAACACGTCCTTCAAACGTAACAAATATGTTGTCAATCAAGAAATCAAGCATCTTGATAATGTCAGTTTCAGAGAATTTTTTGTTAGAATCAGAGTGATTTTTTACAAAGTAGGATTAACCCTCCCTAAGACAAGATACTTGATTCTACGTTGGCCATTCTTTTTTATGAAACAAAGCAGGACCAACTCTTTCAATTTGTCTTTTAGTTCGGAATGGGGAATATATGTGTAAAGTGTAGAAAAGTCAAATGTTTTAATACTATTGCAAGATGAAAGAGTCTTAGATTGTATGTACTCTAAAAGATCTTTGGAATTTTTTAGTATCCACATCTGATTCACGCCACCTCTAGATCTAGAATAGGTAGTTTCACAATAACTTTGAAGCCCGGCTTTGATTGCTGATAAAATTGCTGTTAATAGTTTAGAAAGAGGTTTCGTGGAGCACTTGGAAGATCCAGCAATATACCGTTGTTTGTAAGGACACTTATTTCACTCGGTTTTGGTTTGTAACCCGGATTTATTTTCTCTCAATCGATTTATGACTTTTGAACATCGGTATACTACTGTTGCCTTTATTTATGTAGTTTAGGTATCCAATACAGTGATGGAAGATCCAGTTCTTCATCTTTGGTTAAAATTCCAAAAGAACATAGAACAGACCTATGCTTATCCAGGATTTCCTCTTTAGTAAGTGTCGTGGGGGTATATGTTGAATTTCCAAGTGAATTGTCAATACCTAATTCATTTATCAAGCAGTTTATGTAATGTGATTTACACACAAAAACGATGTTGTTTGGGGCTTTATCTGAGGGGACAACAACATATTTGTCATGGAGGTAGGACAAGTGTTTAGCAACATTTGGGTCTTTAAAGATTGATGAAGCATGGGTACTAACAGTCCCATTCAGTTTCTTAATTCTGATTTGTATTAAAGACCTCACAGCCTTAATCCATTCGAAAAGAGTATCTACGTATTCTTTCTCGCGTTTAGCCCGGCCTGGCATAACTTCGACTGAATCCATCAGTATTTTGAAGTTTTGTTTCCAATTGATGGATTTAGGCTCACAATATTTCGAGCCTTTGGATAACACATTTCGGAGAGAAGTGTTATTGACAATGTTTAGGTCACCAGTAATAACATGGCCGTCCGGATTATACATGAATGGGGAACTAGCACAGGTGCAATCAGGAGATTTAGACTTGAAGTCGTCAATATTGAGACCCTGCAACACGTGTTGAAAATTTTAGTTGCAATTGGTTTGGTATAGGTATAAGAAATGATAGGTACAGACTGATCTTTAAAATAGGGAGGTATTTTCGAGTAAACTAATTAATGATGAAGGATATTGCCCAAGTTGATGGCATCGAGACCTTTGTTGGCAAAGGAAAGTTTAAGAAAGTTTTAACATTTTCCGCCTGGAGATACCACTGCAGATGAGGTAACAACCGAGGAGGAATTGGAATAGGCGCTTTCCACAGCTGAGAAAGAGGGTACCAAAACTCTCACAGATCCCACTAAATTGGACGAACGTGAAGTCAACCTAGTTGAATGACATCCATAATGGATATCAAGAAATCGACCAACTGAAGAAATAGGCGAGCTTGGACAGTCGAAACCTGCAACAGGGCACTGACAAACTGATTTACCTGATGTACCTTGATAACTTACAATCATGAAGTTAAAAAAATCCAGTCTCAGGAGTATATCCAAAACGGTTCTTCAAGAAGAAAACGGGAATGATTCTTGATGCAAGAATCGTCAAGGCAGAAATAATTGAGCACCACCTGAAAATGTAGATAAGATACCACCGTCTGAAAAACTCTGGTAAAAACTAGGGGAGCAGTAGAAAGTACAAAAGGCATAGCCTTGAAGCTGTAAACTTTGTCTTTCTAAACCAGTCTCAGGAAATGAAGAAACTTGAAATCGGTAAAAATCGAATGTGAAAATATGCATCCGTCAAGTCTAGAAATGTCGTCCAAATCCCTGTATTAAGAGACGATCTGATTGACCTGTTGGTTTTCATTTTGGCGTAGGGGACGGTCCACAATATACTGATTCAGAACAGAACAGTCATAAAGCGGTCTCATTTTTCCGTTCTTGTTTGGAACCAAGAAAAGCCGGGAATAAAAACCTAATTGGAAAGGAGGATTGACCTCTTACAACACACCCTTCTGAACTTCAATATTCATCTTGTCTTGCAAAAACTGATTCTTTTCTTTTGAGAATCCTTTGTCACAGACAAATCGATTGTAACAAAAGATATAGGCGGCGGTTTCAAAAATCTGAAGCTCAAATCCCTCCGTAAAATCAAAAGAACCCACTTGTGTAAAGTTATCAGAGACCATTGATCAGGAAAGTGGGAAGGCCTGCCTCCACTGGAAGATGACGAAGAGGAGTAGGTAAACATATCTCTTCCAGTGGGAATAAATCTAACGGAGGGGACACATCAATTACTCTGCATCCTACCGTTTCCAACTTTGGCTTCCTTGCCAACAGAAATGTTAGGACGAGAATCAACTGATCTCTTCATGGCCTGTAAAAAAGAAGTCGAAGGAGCCTTGGGCTGACGAGAGGTCGTGACAGGTCAGTAACATTGACATCAACACTGACCACAGGAGTTGCTTTATTCATCTCTTCCATGAGCTGATCCAATGAAATAGAGAACAACTTGTTCATTGACAAAGGAAAACTGAGAAGATTCTCCTGACAAGCCCGAAAACAGTAGATTAATCAAGAATCTCCGGTCTCCTAGCAAAAGTACAGTTGGCAAAGGTGCCAAGAAGGAGGAATTGAGAGTACCAAGACTCTTATATACCTGTTAGAGCATGGACTTAAATTCAGAGAACTCCCCACCTTTGTCCCCCTCTGCAGCAGCTAGAAAGTTTTCAGCTGTTTCCAGAACATTATACATAATCCTGAGTTTGTAATCCTACTTAATACAGGAAATCCGAGAAAGTCTCAGACCGTCAACAGGTTAGGACCTAGTGAGGAAATCTTATCATAAATTGGAATAGCCTTACCAAAGGATGATCCATGAATTTCAAAAACTTTAGATCATATCTTCATAGGATAAGAGTCAGGTCCAAAACAAGCAAACTTGCAACCACTAGGTTTGAAAGTGTTAGCATTGTTCCCAGCCAAAGAAGTTAACAAAAGACAAGGCAAGTGTGAAATGACTCGACTCTGGAAAAGACGTGTGTCAACGACAACCACTAACTACAGGCTCCTGACTTGGGACAGGCACGTAAAGAATGTTGCGAGGTTTAACATGTTTGTGGGTGCTCACCCCCCCCCCCCCCCCCTAAACCTTGGACAGTGGTGTAACAGCACAACATAAGAACAAACTATAAAATCATTTAAAAAGGCTTAACTCATCAGATCGATACAAAGAAAAACATCAAACAAAAACATAGACAGGACGTGGCTGGGTATATATCCATTTCTCATCCATAACAACAAAAAAGACACTAAGTACAGATCTGATAGTACTCGTTGTTACTGTTAGTCAGCATTTTAATATTGTCATTAAAAAAGGACGACTCTGAAGAGGGCTCACTTCCGAAACCGTGGCCAGATCAAACAGCCTGAGCTGAGTAGGGATCATAAGGAGGCGTTTACTTTATGTGTTATATCATCCATTATAATAATATTACCTGTAATAAATGTATATACAATTTATCTTCTAACTGTAATAATTGCAAACATGATGCAATAAAATTAAATTAAAGTAAATGTTTAAAACAAACTTTGTTTTCTTTCTCCCTAACAAAAACGTGCAGCAATATCAAGGAAACCGGATAAAATGATGAATGTATATGGCGCGCATCCGTCAGGTTGGGGAGATTATCAAAGTGGTGTGTTTTTCTTGCTAGCTTGTTTCCGGTTGAATAATGCAGCAAGTTGACTAATATCTAAATTCATGAAGGTGAGGTATTAATGTAAATAAACCGTAAAATTAGCTGATATATATACTTTGATTAAATCAAATTCAACGAATAAATGTAACCAAATACACCTGTTATATCATTAGTATGATCAACACATTGTGTGTTGTAACAGTTTTTTTTATCAATAATTCATTCATTCAGTTTATTTATTCCTTTAATTTGCTTCATATATCAATAGATTACTGTAACAATAGTTCAAGTTATAAGATATTAACATCGATTGAAAAACCCTCAGTTCCAATGGTAAATCATTTTAATTAATACAATCTGACTTTGCTACTTCTTATTATAATGGTGATTCATTTTGACCTGTTTCATGTGACAAAATAATAATTAATGTACATAAATATTAAAATACTGATTCACCCATAAAGATTTAAACAGTGAATTCCATAAAAATAAAATAAAAATAAAAAGATATTGACACAACAGAATATATTTGTGTCTATTTTACCTGATATCTCGAAGAGATTTCAAAGACTTTGACTTGATGAATACTATGTTGCTTGATTTACTAATGCTTAGAGTGTTGATAGTGACGCACTAATTTACGGGAAATAAAAATTTACTGTATGAACAAATTATGAATACATGTAAATACGTAATAATATGATGTATTTTTTTTTTTTTAGTTTCATCTGGTTTATCAGAGCTGATAACAGCATATACTGATTTAACTATGTCAGTTATTCAGATGAATACTACGGATGTTTTAACACTAGATACTAATGGCAGTATATACACAGCGGACCTCTCATCATTAATTGTCACCACTAGTATGATATGCCCAGATGGGTCAGTGGAACAGGGCTTGGTTTGTGGTATGTATTTAAAGCAAAATTTCAAAACTTAATCCAAAAGTAAGTAGATTACTGTGTTCACAACCTTGAAATCATATGATGATTTACTCGAACATTTTATGTTTTCCTTGTTTAGAATACCTTGATTTTTTTCTAAAAATATGACTGTTCAAAAATAAAATGAATAGATAATCGGATACCTAATCACTGAGAATACGACTCGAAATTATGATTTAAAAGAAAAGTGTTTAATTATTGAAATTTTTCAAAGTATTTAACAACAAAATTTACTTTGTCGCATGATTATATTTTGCTTTCTTTCCTTTACCGCATGATTATATTTTGCTTTCTTTCCTTTATCGCATGATTAAATTTTGCTTTCTTTCCTTTATCGCATGTTTATATTTTGCTTTCAGTGGAATGTCCGTATGGTACATTCTTTAGAAAAGGACTCTGTGTTATGTGTTCTAAAGGAACTTACCAGGACGCAAAGGGGCAAATGCATTGTAAAACATGCCCTGAAGGATTCACAACCAATTACATTGCTTCTACAAATCAAACCGAATGTAACAGTAAGTAGCATGTTGATAATCATGAATTCACGAGATTCATTGGAAGCACAACAGCCTAATTATTTGGTGATTTAGCTTAAAAACATCTAAATCTTCAAATACCTACTTAAGTGGTTGTCTTTTATTTCTGTGTCTCTTATTTGTTTTTTTCGTTTATTGTTTTGTATAGTTTTTTCTTGTGTTGTGCCGTTACACCACCGTCATAGGTTAGGGAAAGGTAGGGGCCTTCAAACATGTTTAACATTCGTTATTTGCATGTCCCAAGTCAACAGCCTGTAGTTCAGTGGTTGTTGTTAGTTCATGTCTGTCATATTTGTTCTTCGTTAATTGTTTTGTTATAAATTAGGTCGTTAGTTTTCCAAATTTATTTGTTTTACATTTTTTATGTCGGGCCTTTTATAGCCAACTTTACGGTTTGGGTTTTTCTCATTGTTGAAGGCCATACGCATGATACAGTTGCCTATAATTGCTTACATCCACTTCATTTGAACTTTGGTGGAAAGTTTCTCATGACAAAGGGGAGACGAAAGATACCAAAGGGACATTCAAACTCATAAGTCGAAAATAAACTGACAACGCCATGTCTAAAAACTAAAAAGACAAACAGACAAACAATAATACACACAACACAACAATCATACCAAAATCTCCTTATTTTAATATTACGGAATTGACGTGTATTGTAACAAATGTCAAATATATAAATTATAGCCTGACTGTTTTTCTGTTCTATTCATCCTTTACACATGTTACGATATGGAAATTTCATACAAATTTATTCCAAATACATATATTTTAATGGGGTTCGTGTTGCTCAGTCTTTATATTTCTATGTTGTGTTTTGCGTACAGTTGTTTGTCTTTTTGGTCTTTTTTTCTTTTTTTGCCATGGCGTTGTCACTTTATTTTCAACTTATGAGTTTGAATATCCATTTGGCATCTTTCACCTCTCTCTTATATAGGGATTAACCCAAGTTGACATACCTCAGCACGAGATTTTGACATTTTTGATCTGGTATTAATTTTCTTGTCTGTTTCAGTTGAACAAGCTACAGAATCAACAGGAGTCTCAGGTATTTTTTTCTATTTTTTTTTAATTTGTTCACACTGCAATATAATTTTTAGACCACTCAATATAACATTGTTTTTGATGTGTAAACACCAATCTCCGATCATCTTCTGTTTTGACGAGACATTAAATATTTCAATGTATTTAATGACCTTTTCTCCAGTACTACTGAACAGAATGACTTCATATTTGATGATCAACTTAGAAAACGATCAGTAGTAACGTGTGTTTTTCGATACTTTGAATTACGTGTGGGCCTAAGCTAAGCATGACAACGCGTGCATTCTTATAAAATATGTATTTTAAACAGACAAAAAGATACTAATAAAACTCATTAAAGATGCCAGGCTTATCATTTTGTACGCCAGATACGCGTTTCGTCTACAATAGACTCATCAGTGACGCTCAAATATAAGAAAGTTAAAGGGTAAAATAAAATACGAAGTTGAAGGGTTAAACTCCAGTGCTCCAAAATCGTTTAGATGTTTATTAAAACATACAGCTAAGTCGCAGTAGCTGCGTAAGAGGATCGAAATACATACATGCGGATACAAAACAAACGAATCGAGTAGAACATAATATACATATTTAACATTTTATATTTATATATTTTTTTTTACAGCGAACAAAACGAACCCTTGCTGATCTTTGAAAACAATTCCGAGAGGTCAATACGGTCCATCAAGGATTTGTATAGTAATACAATACTATACAAATCCTTGGATCCATATATAACGAACATATTACACACAGAGTATCAGCAAAAAAATCTTAATTCCCAATTACATGGTTATATGATTGTGTGCATTTGAAATGTATAATCTTACGTTAACTATCTTTCTACTATCACACAATTTACTTACTTGAGGATATATTACATAATAATTTTGAACTTATTGTTTTCATAAGTCCTTTAATTTATAATTATATTATAGACATATATAATGAAATTCGTCCCCTGAACCAGTCTTGCAAATATTACAATTTTTTCGTGTGTCGGTATATTTCGCAATCTACCCGTTTCTATAGGAAATTTAATGGTCAGTATAGTTCCTGCTCCGCTAGATACAAATTGAACATAATATTTTTCATTAAATACTTAAATATGCAACTTTATGAAACAAATAAATAAAGACGATATCCTTCGTAGTCAGATCTGAAGAATACAATTTTATTTTTAAACAGATCTGTCTACCAAGATAATGTTACCAGCTGCTGTGTGTGGATCCACGATTCCTTTCATAACCATTATTATCATAGGAATCTATATTTATAAAACAAAACAAAGGTATACTATTGTTTTTAATCCTTTATGTTGATTTATCGATACATTTTGATGAAAAAAATTATACCTTGCTTTATACTTCAGAGACTATACATTAGTATGCATTTCAATCTAAAGTAAAATTCTTGAATTACAAATTATCAAATATACAATGTCCTTTATAATTTGTAAAATAATTTGTAAAATTGTAATTTGTTGATCAAAGTATTATTTCTGTTCGAAATCAATGTGCAAACCTCATCATGATCATAGTTCTAGTAAACAGATATAAAACATTTAACCCCTATGCAAAGGTTTTACCTATTCAACTTTACTTTTTAGGAAAGCAATAAGAAACCACACCTTAAAGATAGACACATATCTAAAGAAAGATGAATTTGACAACTGATTATTTTTTGCCAATACGTTTAACAAATGTTATCTTAGAAAAATTAAACTAGCTCCTGTGTCATTAAACTGATTGTTGTGTCTAACTCTGATAACGTGATTATGTTACTGGTACTAAGCCAAACACTGAGTTCGAAAAAGGATAATAATTCTATGATGTATGCATTTGCAGACCAATAAATATAGTGATATTTCCATAAAAATAAACAAACAGTAGATGACATGTTTAGACAAACCTAAATGGTTTAACTCCAGTTAAGTTCCAGAAAATATTGACCCCGTGCTGGTTTCAATTCTTCAATGATGTTTTTGTTAGGGAATTGTGTGACGAGGATATGTTATTATGATGAGTGGTACCTCACTGTTAGTCTTTCCAGAATAAAATTTGATACACATGTACATATTATGACTATAACTAATTGATAAATATGTCCATCATACATTTCTCAAGCAATAGTGACATAACATGTGGAATAAATACTTCTCAATGATAAATGAGACACTCTAAAAAAACACTTATATCATTTCACATTCTAGCTTAGGGCTAAAAAGTTGAGACTAAGGCCATCAATTTCAAGATAACAGATAATATTTTACATTAGGACAAAGGAATATAGTACCAGCTGCTACCGATAAAAGTTCATGGATCAATTCAACAATTAATTCTAGTCATTATATGTCCATCTGTATCAAATTTTTTTTTTAAAGAGACTTACAATTACATACCACTCATCATACTATCCCACACCCACAGAATGATTTCAACATGTATGCATCAATTTTTTTCTCATGGCAGTAACTATAATATGTATGATAAAAAAAATTCAAAAAATATTAAACGCTAGTTTACAAAAAAAAATATCAAAAAGACTACACGGTAATGTATTCTAGCAGCATTGCCAAAACTCTAGATAATTATCAAAAACGACTTTTTCTCTACAAGAGGATATATACAATCATCTCAAAAATGAAGAGAGACAAAAGATGACATACCAAATTATTAAAATCTTTTAAATTTTATTTGCCTGCTTACAGAAGAAGACTTTCCTACAATGAAGATAGTCGTTGTTAGCATGAAATAATTCCCACACTAATCTGAGGACGTACACTAATGTAGAACTTGAGTATTTGAGGGTTTTAAATATCATATAAAAATAAAAAAAGATGTTTGTTAATTTTGATAAACAAAGCACTGACGGTAACGAGATATATCCAAATATTTGCAGTATTGACTTCGAATGTGACTAATAAACGAAGTTATCCGCACCATAAGCAACATGACGGATTCCACGTGTGAAGCAGTATCTGCTCACTCTTCCGGAGCACATGAGATCAACCCCTAATTTTGTTGGGGTTCGTTTTGCCTAGCCTTAAGTGTTCTATGAAGTGTTTTGTGGACTTATTTGTCTTTTCGTCGTTTTTTGTTTTTTGTCATGGCGTTATCCGTTTGTCCTCGACTCGACTTATGAGTTTTGAATGTCTTATTGGTATCGCATCTGAGGTAGCTTCCGACACTTTTTGTTTTACTGCAAGCGTAAATTTACCATCAATCCGAAATATTGAATGTATATAGGGGACGTAATTATGTAATCAGTGCGAACACATAATAAAAGAACTTTGAAATATAACGCGCTTTAAGAAAACAAAGGCAAAAATGGCCATTGCATTGCTCTTCTTTTCTTGCAACATCATACATTTGTCAAACATGTATCATAGTTATCCTTTCCATACGTTAAATCAAATTTAACTTATTGATTATTAACTTTTTTCTCTGAAGTCAGTCTATTGTTCTAAATTGTTATAAATTTCCTTATACATCAAATAAATACAAATAAGCATATCGAACTCCATTTGCAAGGTGTATTCAAAAAGGAGGAAGTCCATAAAACCTTAGAACAACAAAAGCTCAACTACAGCAACCAACGAAACGGATGGAGAATAACAGTCAAAATATCTTTTTGAGTTAATCAAACTCGATAACCATAGTATTATGATACAAATATATAAATGTTATTATGTCGTTTGCCCTGTATTCCTATATTATTCGACTTGGAATGCCTGTCGTAAAGTTGCCAGAGTGTTACAAACCCAGGTGGAACAACAAGGAAAGGAAATATTGGACTTACGTAAGCTATTATATTTATAGTTTTTATAACAAGTGAGAATTTGATACCGCTTGTTATCATATACTTAGAGCAAATAACTTATAACTTTTACAGTGTGATAATAGCATTAAATTTACGTAAATTCAATATTTTCCGTAATGGTGCTTAGCGGGCTGATATGAAAACTATATCAACTGCTTCCGGTTATTATCGCATGCCTTTCCGTAACGTTATCGCATGACAATTTGACGTCACCCGGCAAATTCCTGAAAATACACCTCAATGGTACGTTTTCAGTGAATAGAAAAAAAACCCAAATATTAGGAAACAGGAAACAGGAAAATATATTTTGAGTAATGCAAAAGAAATGATACAATAAAATGCATTTTTTCAAAGTTTTAAAAATAGTTCTTGTAATATGTATTTTTTTCTGCTGAAGTATATGATAAAAAGATTTGAACTTCCACTTGAGAACCACTTAAAAGGATCAATATATTAAACTGTTATTTTTTCTCCATTGTTGAAGCATATGATATAAAATGCAATGTAATAATCTGATAATATCAACTCGAGTTAATTAATTTCAAGATAATGATAAACAAACCTTCGGCGATTTTATTATTACTATTTTAATTTAAAAACGAGAGTTAATGTCTAATTTTTACGAGTTTGTAAACCTTTTTCTCTTATAGTAAACATTTTCTGAGTGTTAAACAGAAAAGTCCTCGATTCGTTAACATACCAGTATGCATCTTATGTCTTATTCGGGCGTCAAAATTTATCATCAGATATTACATAAATATGCATCAGTAGTGGATCCGGAGCTTCAAGTGGGTAAGTTGTTTGTGACTTCATGGAACTGTATTTGGATATTGACACTTACCACACCTTCATTACATTTTAGCTTCAGATATAAACCCTATTTCTTTCGTGCCAAAATTTTTTTTTTATTATTTTAGGTGAAAGCGTAGGGTGTGGACCCCCTGATTATCCATCTCCATGTCATAAAGGAGATTATTCATGTGAAGACATGTTGAAAATGCCACGCTTGAGTCCAAGATATTATCTTATACTTTTGATATAATCATTTATATGTTATTCGACGCTTGCCTTCGGACAGATCAGTCTGGGTTGCCAAACCACTTATACTGCATCAAAGTTTTATTTGATGTTTTCATACTTGTGATTCTGATTTAAGTGGGCGTTTTTAAAATTTTACATGCTTGAATTGATTAGTAACAAAAATTATTTCCTTTGTAGATTGTGTATTGATAAACGTTATGTTGAGGCAGCGGCTAAGGACATGCAGACAAATATGAACATTGGAACATTGTAGATAAAATTAATAAAAATTGCTGAACTGTAGTGTCCAGGCGAGCTGATATCCCAAATAGTGTTTGGTTTTATTCTATAAATATTTTATGTTCGTTTGAGGGGACGAACAAGAAAATAAGTGTTTTTATTATATGAAAAGGATTATAACCAGAAAAGCTTCGAGAAAACCTGCAAAACCTAAGATATCAAACTATCAATCCCTGATATTGTCGTTCTTCATGTCTAACAAACAAGCAGAAGAAGGTATTGACTTCTCTGAAACAAATATTGAAATAAAGTTTGAAGCCAAAATTTATCACACGAGAGATAACGGAATGACATCTGAATCAAGTATTAGACACTCCTGCAGAATAATCAGTCAATCAGATACTGATTTACTGTATTCCTCAAATTAGCTTTAATATTTGCATGTTTGACATACAGAATTGCTCAAATCTTTTGAACAAATTTCGACCCCCTTTCCATTTTTGAAGTATTAAAAATTGGAAATCCCCCTCTCCATTTCAAAAATGTTTCAAGGCAGAATATTTCTGGTACTTTGTAACCTGAAAGGGGGAGACAATTAAGAGGGAGTCTTAATTTTCTCCCCCTTTCAGGTTACAAAGTACCAGTCTCAAAGCAAATCTGTTCATAACAAGTCGAATTGAGTTTCCCTAATTCGAGTTGATTACATGAGAGCAACACGACGGGTGACACATGTGGAGCAGGATCTGCTTACCCTTCTAGAGCACCTGAGATCTCCCCCGATTTTTGGTGTGATTCGTGTTGCTCAGTCTTTAGTTTTCTATGTTGTGTTTTGTATACTGTTTTTATTATTCTATATTCTTTATTAATCGGCACCACGTAATTCTCTATTTGAAAATAATTGTTGCCAATTTTTCTATCTATCTTTTTTTTTAGTTGCAGTGTATTGTGCGCTTTTCCCCACTTATACTCTAATCTGTAAACACCATCCACACCATCTTATAAAAATAATGTTGTCAGTGGTTGTCATATCTTTTTTTTTTGTTATTTGGGGGATTTTGGGTAAACGTCAAAGAGACAGCAATTCAAAGACACAACAATCCATACATGTATGTAACTATAGGGCCTTCAGCAATTAGAGGGGCTTCGGTGGCCGAGTGGTCTAAGTAGTCGGACTACTGTATCACTAGCCTGTCAACACTCAGGTTGTGTGTTTAATACAATCAATCAATCAATCAATCAATCAATCAACAATTAGAAAATGCGTATACAATATGTCTAGTCTAAATCACAACGAGAACAGACAAGTACAGAACGGATGTGGAGAAATTTATCTTACGCTTTTGAATACAGACTTTTTAGTAATGCAATCAACGAAAGCAAAATGGCGAAAAATAAATTTTTCAGCATTTATCAATTAAACTGAATAATAACCGATGAATAAATTATCATAGAAAAATTTAAATGTCTATTGACGAAAGAAGAAAAAAAAACGTTTTCAAAGCACTGTTTACTAAACCGATCAAATATTCTAAAATTCCAAGATCTACTTGAACAACTACACGTCTGAAATTAACAAATAACTCAAATTTGTTAGAATAATTAATACATGCATAGAATATCTTTGGCAACAACTTCATGTCTCTTCTTGAAAGGTGTCAGACCACCAATTCAAAATCCATATCTAT